TTTGGCTCTTTTATGACTCGTGGGAGTTGAAGTCCACCAGTCATAAAAGAGCCAAGGTTGCCTACCCCTGATCTAGGTCTAGGAGAAAGGCTTCTTAAACTGGAGAATCGGGGCCTTAGAGAAAATAGAGTTATGTTATTATGAAGTAGCCAGATCTCATTGTTCAAATCAGTGTGTGCTAGATTCCATTCCTTTTTTTTTTTTTTTTTTTTTGCAAAAACTTCACTTCTGCTAAAGCTTAGAGAGTACACAAGTAATTCCTGTGTAGGTAAAAATTCTGATGAATGTGACTTTAGACATTTGCTGTTAGAAAACAATAGAGTAATTGTTTTACTAATGTGTACTGCTGTTTTTAGTTGATTGTAGAGGTAATTTTTATTGTACTCTATTGACTTAGGTCAGCAATTTTGGTTTATTTAAAAATTAGACATGATATAAATAAATAGATAAAAGTACATTGTATCTCAGTTCAAGGACACTTGGAGAAAGCTATTATGGAACCTCTCAGGTTTCTAAGATACATTAAATTACAGGATCTGTGGCTGGCCCTAACCTTTCTATCTGAACATGACCACCTCCCTAAAAGTGATATCTCCATCTTGTTGTTAACTCCATTTGAGATAAATGCCCTCCTATTTCAACAGAAGACCAGCTACTTCTTTTAAAGTACAAGTGCCTGTTCATAGCTGAAAGTAGAAAACACATTTGTGGTATTAACTATCCATTTCTTACTTGAATATGTTTATTATATAAGAACTACGGAGAAACTTCCTGACAGTGAGAACAATTAAACAGTGGAACAACCTGCCTCCAGAAGCAGTAAATGCTCCAACACTGGAAGTTTTTAAGAAGAGACTGGACAGCCATTTGTCCGAAATGGTGTAGGGTTTCCTGCATGAGCAGGGGGTTGGACTAGATGACCTCCAAGGTCCCTTCCAACTTTATTTTTATTATTATTATTATTATTATTATTATTATTATTATTATTATTATTATTATATCACTTGCCTTGTTCACTTTAAAAGAAATAAGGCTATATGTATGTCCAATAATTAAATGCCCATGTGGCAGGATGATAAATCATTGTTTTTTGTATTCTAAGTTTTGAAATGGATGTCAATTGGACATAGTTAAGAAAAAGGGAAAGGAAGATGATTTAGTATAAGGCATCTTTTCCTCGTAGCCTATACCAATTGTCCCTTCATGATAACTACAGTATGTATAAACAAACTTAGAAGGAATACCCATGCAAAAGCTTCAACAAATAGGAGCAAACTCACTGACTAGCAGAGGTACTGGAAAGTCACAGTAACTCAGCTGTAAACATCAGCACAGGATTGGTGGGAGGATGTAAAATAGAGTTGCTTTGTGAGGGAGATGCGTGGTTTCCGAATGAGAAAGAGATAAAGAGAGATGATGGATGGATGGATGGATGGATGGATGGATGGATGATAGGATCATGGACATCAATTTAAGATCATTGGAATAAAGTACAATATAAATATCCTCTCTATGTCACAAAATTAAGCACACAAATAATTACAATAAAATTGAAAGATAATAAAAATTCAGTGGAACAGATCTTAAAATAGAAGGCAAGCATAAAAAGGTTTGATCAAGTGCTATTTGTACCTCTGTTAGGACTGTTTCACAATCAGATGTCCATAAAGGATGGAGGATGTAAAATGAAATCAAGAGATCAATTGACTGAAGGGGGATTTAGTTTTCAGTGGTTAAGAGAAAGATTGAAAGTGGACAACATTTGGAATTGGACAGCACAGGACAGAATTTGAAACTTAACCATGTGCATATGTACATGTAACTGCTAAAATTATACCTTAGTTGAACTTTGAAACAGAAGAAGAATAAGTGAAAGAGTATGATAAAATGGGCTAAGAACTCTGGATATAATTTATTGATAAAACTGGGAAAATATATTGCTGAAAAGACTGAAATGTACATTACGTTATAAGATAAAAGAGAACTTTTATAAAATGATGTATTAGAACAGAGGTCCCCCAACCCCCGGTCCGTGGACTGGCACTGGGCCGCAGCATACCAGAAACTGGGCCACAGAAACAAGCGAAGCCCCATCCTTGGGATGCAGGCAGCACACGAAACCATGCCCCCCCCCCCCGGTCCACAGAAAAACCTCTCTCCACAGAATCGGTCCCTGGTGCCTAAAAGATTAGGGGCCTCTGTATTAGAACAAATACCTAGAATGCGTAAAAGTACTTCAAATTTATGTTGGAAATGTAGAGAACATGAAGGATCATTTTATCCTGCTTGGTGGATTTACAAAAAAGTCATAAAATCTGGGGTTCAGATACATAGAACGATATAAAGAATTTTGAAGATTAATATTCAGTTGAAACCAGAACTGTTCTTATTGGTTCTAGTGGGTACTCAATAAGAGAAGAGTTGTGGAAGATTGTTCTTGTATATGATAACTGCTGTGAGATTATTATATGCATAAAAATGGAATACCCACAATGGAGGAATGGCTGGTAAAAATGACAGAATTAGCAGAAATGGCAAAATTGACTTGACTAGAGGAAAAACAATAATTACATTTATTAGAGATTGGACTTTTTGCTGAAGGAAGAAAAAATGAACTTTTGATTTATGGGTTTAATAATTAGAAAGGGTAAACAATTGAAACAAGGAGGATATTTTGTAAGTTTATGGAGACAGGGTAAAGCATAAATGTACTTAACAATTGCTACTAAGAAGACCGGAATCTTTTCCCTTCCTTTCCCTTCCCTTCCCTTTCTTCTCTGCTGTATTTCTTTTCACTTTTTTTACTCATTACTTTTCTTTAACTTTCCTTACTTTTCCCTTTTGAAATTCATATTTTTATTCTTTAACATTTCTTTAATAAAATTATATATTTTTTTAAAAAAATCAGATGATCATGATAGAAAAGGCTTGTTGTCTGTGTTTCTCATGATGTTGAAATATAAGTTAGCAGGAAAGCAATGTTGTTTCCATTCAAAATGAAGGCTCCCTCTTCTCTTTTGCAGAAACAGAAGCTCATATAAGTGTTGCAAATTCCAACACTTTAAATACTGTTTAATCCAGCTACATTATTAAACATATGCTTCATATTTTCTAGTTGAATTTATGATCCAAGAGTATTAACTTAGGGTACGCAAGCTGGTACCCATCTTATGTTTCAAACTACAGCTCTCAAATATTTTGAGTCTTGACTAAAATGATAGTTATAGTCTGAAACATCTGGATGTATCCTTAAATCCAAGAAGAAACTGTTGCTCATTTGTTCTTATGACTTTTTAATATCATTTCTTTAGTTTTTAGAATTTTTTCTAGAGAAATGGGTGTATTAAACTTTTGCTGTGAAAATGCCAGTGTTTTGGCACTGTAAATACTAAGTTACTTATTATAGCAAAAATTTGCATTGAGTACAACTTAGGATTCAGAAACCTTGTGTCATTATGTATATTTAAGCTCTAAGGCAGGGCTTTTCAATCTTTTCACCCATTATACCACTTTTAGGATATGGCAATATCCAAATACCACCAGTTGCCTAGCAAGGTGTCAAAAACTTGATGACAAAAAAGGGGGAAAAAGTGATGAAGTACAGGTAGTCCTTGACTTACAACAGTTTGCTTAGTGACTGTTCGAAGTTACAACGGCACTGAAAAAGTGCCCCCAAGCCACAGCTGAGCAAGACACCTGCCTGCCACCCAGCGGCACTCTTTCTCCTGTCCGAGGTTTTCATTGTTGTGAGCATTTCTGTTGAGGATTGGCAGCAGGGGTGGGGTGGGGGGGTGTTTGGTTTTTATTCCGTCTGCTGGGTGATTGCAGCAGGTTTTGGTCATTTCACATGACCCTGGGACACTGTGACCGTCATAAATATGAATCAGTTGCCAAGCATCTGAATGTAAATCACAAGACCCTGGAGATGCTGCAACATTCCAGCTGATCAACGCATCTTCTGGGCTCAACAGAAGCGCCAGGATCAGCGCCATGCTTCAGCTGGAATCTGGTGCTGATCCTGGTGCTTCCACTGAGCCCTGACAGCCCCCAAAAAGTGTTGATCTTGGCGCTTCCGCTGAGCCCTGACAGTCCTGCAGCTCCAGCCATCTGTTGCTCAAGCTTGTGTGGTGCTGCTACCAGTTCAGCTCATTCCCCCGCTACCACTTTTCTAGGATGGTCACGTACCGCCTGCCAGGTGCCAATGTACCACAGGTGGTACCCGTACCACTGGTTGAAAAGCCTTGCTCTAAGGTGCCACAAGGTTGTTGTATGTTGCAGGATTGTTTAATTGTTCATAATGAAATATTTTTACCAATCAGAGTTTCAAAAAATTCTGCACAGTGCAAGATGAGCCTAAAGACCTGCATGATTGCCCTTAAAATAAAAATAATTGTATTTGGTGGAATATTCCCAAGAACTGAAAGTATGTACATTATTTTTGGTTCTTGGTTAATCTTACTGAGTTTTCGGTTCCGAAAAAAAAATGTATTCCAGAAGAAAGAGCTTTGAACATTGTTATCATTTTGGAAAATTTATTCTGAAATGTATATCCACTTTAAATTAGAAAAAATGTAAATAGTGCAATACATATTGTATTGGAACACGCAACATAAAAATTATACTATAGTAATGTACTTGCTGGTAGTGAAATTTAATTCAAAATGTATATTCGTGTATTCATTAAATACAGAGTACTTTGTTTTATCCTTTTTAGTTAATTACACATCACACAGATGAATATTTGAAACCTTTTAGGGTAGTTATGTTGTAACTGTAATAAAATGGCTTAATATCTTTAGTTATCTGTAAATGAAGGGCTAATTTAGATCAATTAAACTGTTTCATTGATTAGAGGATACCAATATAATTTAAGTAACATAGTTAAATATGCCTGTGAAATCCAGTTCATGAAACTACAGAATCCACAATGTTTTCTTAAACATTCTGCATAGAGTTATTTCTGTCCAAGCTGATAATACTCTGCATGTGTTTTCTCACAGTTGCAAGAAGCAATCAAGGCTAGCAAAGGTGTGACTTCAGCTATTGACCTATGTCGTTGCCATGGAAACAGCGCACTGGAAGCTCTAGAATGTTTCTCTCCCTCTGAGGCCAGATCTGCCTTAGAAAACATTGTTTACGCTGTGACAAGATTTCCATAATGTAGAATTGGGGGAAAAAAACTGTTGTTCATTTGTGGAAACGAGCCAAACAGAACAGGTGATTGCAAAAGTCAGATCTGCCATTGCTAGGGATCCAAATGCATTTGTGGCTTTAAAAAAAAAAAGTGTTTCTGTTCCATTCACTACATTCCCAAATGAACACATCTCCTTCAGAACTGCTACAAACAAAATTAGGGAAAAAAGGTCAAACAGTTTTCAGTTGTCATGCCAGAAGCACACTTGAGGCTGCACTGGTAGAAATAATTAATGACACTAGCTTCTGTGACCTCAGCAAATGGACAGGAAATAAGTCCTTATTGATTGGACATAGTCAGGGATGGCGCCAGCATGGTGGCCTGTGGTTTTCCTACAGAAGAGAAGACAGAGGGGGCCATGAAGCTGCAGGGAGCAGTGGTTTCCACATTTATTAGAAAGCTGGGTGCTTAAAAGTAGAATTTATGTAGCAATTTATCAACACAAAAGGGAGCTTGATGAATTGGCAGAAAGGAGTGGATTTTTATCCTACATGAAATGTTTCTGTAGGAGTTTTTCTGTGCACTGAAATATAAAATAACCTTATAACTATTATGTTTAAACAGGTCGCTGAAAGAGCATTGTAAGTATGGAAAGCCCTTATTGTGATGTTGAATTGTTTTTGAAATTCTGTTCTGTTCTTTTTTTGTGCAATTCTGATTAAAAAAATGGAACTTTAAACAGTGATTGCTTTTTCTATATTGTACAAAAACAAATACTGTATTTTCTTACATTTATCAAGAAATCTACTCAGTTTTCATTTTTGCCCAATGTTAAATCAATTTTTGCTTCAGTTATCTATCATAAAGGATTAAATGATAGTTCTTTCTCTCTTCCCTCTGTACAGGATTTCATCCCCTGAATGGATGTATAAGAAGTGTTTTAACCTTACTGTGTCAAATGTTAAAGTCCAATTACAGAGAGAATACATGGTATATCAGAAGCCTGCAATCAGACACTGTCTCTATTTTGTTCATAGGAGATGAATTTTGTGGTTTGCATGCTTGCAATCTGAGAACATCGTTGACAAGAAGGCTGAGTTTACATAAATGATCCAGATTGAGACTCAGCTACCTTTCTTCCTTGTGTGGTGTAATTACAGCCCAATCTGGAGACAGCTAGCACAGCAAACAGATTTCATTACATTGCTCTTTCAAACACTAAGTGGAGTTATTTTAGTTAATTTTTTTTTCTCTGTGTCTCTCTAGTGATGTGTCATACACCTTCTGCATAATGGCAAATATTTCACCAACAGAAACATTATTTTTTAAAGTTGAAGATTTAGTTTCACTTATGAGATGCACATGGGGAATTAATGCATTTTCAAACCTTGACTAGCTAGACTGGACTTCTGGTACTTTCCTTGTGTACAAAAATATTATCACACTATTAGTATTTAGTAATTACATGAATAAATCAAACTATTTCAGTCCTAAGGAACATTCCGTTTTGAAGGAAGGATGGATAGACAGATGGATAGCAATTTTTTTGTTTCAAATATATTTTATCATTAAGGGTTACTTTTAAAATATTAGCACATGTAGCATAATAATTTGAAATTTATGAAATTATTATCAACATTAGACTACATGTGCCACCAATCTAATCTTATAGCAGTCCTTGTAATAAATATGTAAATAGTATCCACAAAAAGGACACAGAAACATTACAGCTAAATTATTAAGATATTCAGATTCCGATAAAAGTAGATGGGAAACTGCAATAGCCACAAAATTGTCAGAATTTTTAAGTACTTCAATTTTTATTTAACAATATTGTCTTCTTAGCCTAACAATTGCTTGATCTATGGAGGACTTTCCAGCTACAGATACATATTTATCATCTGATAAGTTACACAATGGACCTCAGAAGGAAGTTATGTCATGTGAACAGAAAACTTCTCATGAAATCTTAATTTTTCTATACTTTCAGGAATCTGAAAATAAGAGTGTTTGGTATTATACTGTAGTATTTAGCTTCCACTACATTTTTTTAAAATAAATCTGAATTGGATTCTGAATCTTCAGAATAATTTAAATACAACAAGTGAAATATATTGTAAGTCACCCAGAGTTACCATGTGGCAAAATAGGTGGCTAATAGGTGGGAGTTTTGTACTTCAGAGGGGGGGGGATATGTGGCTAATGATGGTTGTGATGACATTGATACTTGTCAATAGTTGTTCCTTGACACTGGCATTTTAGAAATCATGCTTAATTTTGATATAAACTTTTTATTCATCTTTAAAAGTTTGTTTTCTAAGTATTAATGTTAATCTCTAGTCAATATTGTATAAATACTGTACTCAATATAATGTATTAACTGTGTTTTATAATAATAAAGTAAAACCAAAGATGATACTTGTACAGGAGTACTCCATACCATACTTTTAGGCAGAAAACACTTGCTAGATCAAGGGAAGCCGCCAATCTTAGCACCTAATAACAGTAAGAATACTTTAAAGAAAATAATCATTTTCTCATGGAAATAATTTCATTTTAGAGATATGTGAAGATATGTGAAGACTAAAAAAATAATGCATTGGTAGGCAAAATCAAGTTTTATTGGAGAGTTTAGTGAAAAACATCTGCCAATTGAACTATAGGAAGTTGAAGATATATTTGAATAGATTTTCTGTCATGCCTTACAACTGCAAAATCATGTTGCCAGTTTCTATACAAACTCGCTTCTAATGAAGTTTTCTTGCTCTGATATATAAACCAATACCTAGTTCAATATATAACTGAAGATTAAAAAGGGAAAGAAAATCAATTATGTAAATAAGTATAAATTTAAAAATGGTACAATGCATCTGCAAGAGATAGCATATAATCTTCCATTCAAAGTTTGCTGATGTGTATCATAATATTTCTATATTCATAAGATTTTTAGATCTGATTTTATTTTATATTTCAGGCACTAGAATCTCTAACTGAGAGCAAATCATAATCTCTGTCTCCTGAATCTATGATGGATTCTTTCAAAAAACTGTTAACTATTTTAGGAAACATGATCAAGTGGCTCAGTTCTGTTGGGAATGTGTTAGAAAGCACTCCATTTCCTGAATTAAGTTTTCTAGTCTGTAATACTGTAATTAGTACAGGCAGAATGCAGAATCTGATCCATTCTGTAAATCTTTTGAGATAGCTGAAACCTAACAAAAACAATCAGCAGTGTACTGCTGGAAAATGTAACATATTCCTTGCTAACACCACATCTAAATCCTACTGACCTTTCTTATGTTTACTTTCAATGACAGATTTTTTTTCCTAAGAGGCACACTATTTTTATGGTACATACAGAGTTTTTTATTCAATGTTTCTATTAAAACACTTCATAATGAAAGTGTCTTGGGTTACCTCTGTCATCCATTAGGAGTGGTATTTTATTTTGAAAGACCTGGGGGTGAAACCAAGTGTTTCCATATATAATTATTAACAAGGGACTCATAAATACTTCTGTATTAGGTCAATGTATCCTCTATGCCCAACAGAACATCAATATCCGTTTTGTTTCTTGAAGGATTATTAAGAAATGAAATATTCAAGCATGTAACAATTCATCCTCTAATTCTATAGAGTGTTTTGAATGCAATACAAAACTTGGTGGCCTTGATCAGTAAATTCACATGGCTTAAATCTAAAAGAAAATCTAATGAAGTGGGAATGAGTATACATTAAAATAAAATATGTTGTTTTTGTAATTGTTTTTCATACTCTTCTAAGATTACTCATATGCTGTATTATGGTCAAAGATCCACATAAGGAAAGGGGGGTACAAAGAATTAAAAAGCATAAAAATGCATCCAAATAAAAAATATTAAAATTCATATTTAAAGCTGAAAATATATATTTTTGTATGTATATTGTGTTATACATGTATTGTGATCTACATATATCCTATATCCATGTCCTGCTCCTACCCCTCCTCTTTGATTGCTTTTAATTTTTTATTTCTTTTAGCTTTTTAATATTTGTTATTAAATAAAAATATGTTTTATTTTGATGTATCTTTTATGCTTCTTAATTGTTTGTAACCCATTATCCTTTGACAGTGATAAAGATTTGATTTGGTGATGTGCTATATAAAGTCATTCTCTGCATTAGTCAAAAGAATACTTTGGCTCCCCCGTGTGTAACAGATTCTCTCACATCCACAAAATTTCTGAATAAATTATGTCAATGCCTTTTTAATGCTTGTGCTTGAATAATTCTTCCATAATAGAAAAATTGAGTGTCGTTTTTAAAACATCTTTAATGATACTTGTCAATAATATATTATTTAATTGTATAACTTGTGCTGCTTGGTAAAGTACGTCATTCTGTGAACACCGTCCATTTAAAATATTTTGCTTGTTGCAATATAAGAGATTTGATAGTTTTGAAAAACTGAGGGTGGGGATAGACAGAATTTTATCTCCCTTCAAATCAACCAATGAAATTGATGGGAAAATGTATGTACAGTAGTGGCCAAAATTGTGGAAACCTTTTGGGGAAAGTGTATTTTTGAGGTTTTATGGCTAATAAAACCACTTTTTGGGGAGTAGTACCATAAATTATATATCAGTGGAAAGATAATTTAATCAAGAATGTAATGCAACAAAGTTTGTTCAATTATCTGTACTGTATTCCATGAAACATAGCCAAATAACCAGAAAAAGGAAGCACAACTTGCTTAGGTTGGTATCAGGTAGCTTTCCTTCATCTGATTGTAGCCAATGAGCACGAGTGTTTAGAGAACCAATCAGGTGTCATCTTGTTTTGGCAATGAGCCAATCAGATCACAGTAGGATTCAGTTATTGATGAATCTTCAGTTATTGATTAAAACTGAGAGGAGGACATTTGTCAGTGTGTTATGTGATCGCTATCAAGTTGGTTGGGGTTTTTTGTGTTCTTTCATTTAGTGAGCTTGTAAAACGTAATAAAATTAAAGTAATGGTGCAAAGAGTTGACTGGTCGCCCAGAAAGCAATGTAAAATAGTATTATTAAATGAACAAGCTTATAGTTATAAAGAAATTAGAAGAAAAATTGGTGGAAACTTAACCAAAGGTGGCATTTCTACTGTACACTTTTCCCAAAAGGTTTCCACAATTTTGGCCACTACAGTATAATTACAGAATGTAGTAAACCTATAAAATAAACCTGTAGAAGATGTGATAATTAGTGCAGCTAATTTTAATGGTTTTAAAAGGGAGCTGGGTTAATTCATGGAGGATAGTCTATAATTGGATAGTAGACTTGAGATTCAATGTTATCTCTGGATTTCAAACGATTTCAATTTCAAGCAAAAGCTGCAAGTCTCAAAGGTGCTTTTTCAAAAGGAACTGGACTATGTTTTTTCCTTGAGGAAGAAAACATTTCACTTCTCATCCATGAAGCTTCATCAGTTCTGACTGGATGTGAGAGGGATGGAGGGATCATATTTTTTTGCAGTCATCTGGTTGTTACCACTCTCTGAGGGCTGTTGAATTCACTTGCGGCTTTATCTGCACCCTCAGGGTCACCTGAATCAGAGTGCAAATGGGTGTGGAGTCTTCTTGAAACTGCTGAAAGGATTGCATTGTAGACAAGAGATAAGTGGTGTATTCCTCTCCCTCTGTTGAGGGAGAGCTGTTCAATTTTAACACTGATGGCCTCTTTTACCCCTTTCAAACCAATTGGCCCTCTCTATTCAGAATGTGGATTTTAATGTCTTCAAGAGTGACCTTTGTCTTTCAAATGTAGATGTACCACTGAATCTTGTCCTGATGGGTTTGTTCTCCTAAATTGTGCCGTGTATTTGTGAAGTGGTTGTTTTGTTTCTCCAATGTACAGATCTGCACATCTCACTGCACTGAATTGCATTTATCACATTGCTCATATTGTGTTTTATCCTTGCGTCTTAGTGTATTCTTGGATTTAAAGTGTGCATGTATGCTGTGTTGGTTGAAAATTCTCCAGAGCTTTTCAGATGTTCCTGCAATATATGGAATTGACATTGCTTCGTTTGTGTTCTCTTCTTTGTTATGGAGGAGCTACTGCCGGGTCTTTTGCTGGCTTTGATAAAGGTCCAGTTGGGATTGCTACAAATGCTGATCTATGATAGGCTTTGGCTCAATGCAATATAGCTATTCTTAAATGTAATCTGTATTTGGATGACTGGGCTATGTCCCCTCACTATTTGAAGATCAGAGAAATAAATTAATGCTTCTATTTTATAATACAAAACAGTCTACAAAGTTGTTTCAATGAGAAAGGAAAATACATTTATGGGACCTTCTTTCAGCTTCCCTTTTTATAAAATAAATGATTGAGATTTCAGGAAAACCTGTCCAATTTCATTCTGTGTTTCTGGTAGGTTCTTATCTGAGCCTACTTTCTATTCATATGCACACAGACTCTTCACTGTTCTAGTATTTATAATCTACTAAACAATGACAATATGCAACAGTAAAAAGGTATGCATTTCATATGCAAATCAATGGCAATAATTTTACACAATTGCTAACTTGCTTGCATCATTATGTTAACAGAAGCATAACACAATGGATGCCACAAAGAATGTTACCAAAATATGCTTTTTTCTGAAAAAGACTGTTCTCCTCTTTACATTTTACTATAGTTAATATTGCAGTTTAGTCAATGATAACAAGTAAGACAGAAATATATTATTGGCTGTATTTATATTAATAAACATACCTAATAATTTAAACTATTACATTAACTTCCCAATCTTAAATGGTTCTGCCAGCACATCACCTTGCAGTAGTGGATGAACAATGAATGTATCACAATTATGTATAATTTATTGAGTCTAGATTTCCCATAAAGCACAAATAAATGAATAAAAAGTAACACAATTATTTATAGTGATAGTGAACTTAGTTGTTTCAATATGGATATTTATGTAACCAAGCTTGCTATTATCCTGACACTTTGTGCTTGGTAAGATACAAAAATATGTAAGGAGGGTAGGGTCTTTCAAAGATTTTTAAAAAGAGCACAGAGCATGCTTAGCAGCAATGTGAGATGAAAAACTGAGATGAAAAATCGGGGGAAGAGATCTCGCTTATAATTAATCTACAGTTGAAAAACTCAGATGAAAAATCAGACGAGGAAATCATGTATCTGGAAGAAAACAACATTGGAGGAAGATTTGATGGAGGGAGAGATCTCGCTTATAATTAATCTTCAGCAGGGGTGTCAAACTGCTGGCCCATGGGCCGAATCTGTCACATGGAAGCTGCACCCACCCCATTGCCGGCAATGGCAAAACCGGCCTGATACGTTGCGCAACATCACGTGACATCATGAGTTTGACATGCCTGTTCTACAGTGTTAAGAGAGGAAAGAGGATGTCTTAGAAGTTCGTATAGTTAGAAAGTTGTAATGATTTTATCTTTGCAACTGACAAGTCCAAAGCCAATTGAGGATATGCAGTTATGCATGATTTGAGGCCACTGTACTCAAAACATCATTTGGTCAAATTAATGTTGGATATGTAGGGTATATTGCAAAGCGTAAAGCCACCCTTTTGACAGTGATAGCATTGAAAATACACCATACGTTTTATTTCATATTTAAATATTTGTTATAAATACAAAGCTACACATTGGTAGTTTTATTTGATTTATTTAAATAAGATTACCTTTTATTTTATTTTATTTTGCAAATAGCTTCAAATTTTCAGTTAAAATAAACTAGTCGTGTTTCCAGAGACCATCTAGAGCACTTCTGGAATATCATCTTAGGTTTCCCTTCTCCCAGCCTGGAATTCATTGGCATAACTAAACAAGATTTGAAGGAAAAAAATATGTGTGTCTTTCCTACAAGTTTGCAACTGCCTTCCTTGATTTAAGGAACTGCAACTAGGTGTCTCCTCACTCACTCTAAAATACATTACCTTCAAATCCAAAGCTTTGCATTGTCCTAGAACATTATTAATTTTTGAAGCCAAGCACTGTAGCAGATAGATAGAAATCAGGCTAGAACAAAACTGGCAAGATCACAGAACAACAGTTGAAGATGCTGAATAATGTCTGCTTTTAATGTTCTTTCAGTAGGCATTACTTGTGTCCATACTAAATTGGGAGTGGACAACAGGAGGAGGGAGTCCAAATAATATATTGTAGTTCCAGTATTTGATCTTTATAGTATAATTGCAGGTTTCTTTGTGCTTTACAACCCCATTCAATGGTAACTTTTCAAGCTCTAGTTATGCAAATTACTTATCTTAAACCAATCATATAGTCTTTTCGAACAAATCTATTCACATCTACTCCAAAAGCCACTGAGCTCAATGGTGCTTATTCCAAGATACATGGATGTGAGATTACAGCATAAAATTATCCTCTTTCTTTTGAAGCAGAGTTTAAAATGGTTATTCTTCTTACATAGTTTAAGATTGGTAACATAGACTAGGAATAGCAAATTTCCCTAGATTAGAACATAGATTAAATCAGCAAATTTAGAATTGTTATTTTGTACATTGTAAAAGAGATTTAAATTCTATGGAAAAAAATGACAAAAATAGAAATAGATCTTCCTCTGGAAATATGTAACAGTTCAGTACCTCCAAGTGGAATTCACAGATCTCTTGAAAGTAGAAAGCAAATAAAAATAAAGCAGCCAATGAATAAATAATAATAAAGTTTATAAATTAATTTTAAAAAATAAATTTGACATAATACAAATCTATGAACCAGAAGCACAAATATTCAAAATGGTTGGCTGTAACCTAAAAACATTCTTTAGGCACCCAACACTTTTCTCTGCAGTTTCTCAGAAAGTGAAGTTGCCCGACACTTCCAAATGAAATAATTACAAGGCAGAAATGCTATGAAAATTTTAGAATGCAATTATTATACTACTAATTTTATTTAACTGTGATTCTTTAAAAAAAATTCTCTTTCAATTACAGATCAGTTACAAGTTTTTTTCTTTTAGCATCAAAGAGTAACTTAAGGGCATTGAAAAGGAAACAAAGCACTTCTAAATAAATGCTTTGGTTACAAATATCCAAATAATTTATTTTATAGATATGAAAATATGTGGAAAACAAACTTACAAAGACTGGGCAGTATACCTGAAGTAGGCTTGCATATTATTTCCTTTCAATCTTAGAAAAAAAAATTAAATAACATTCTGGATGGATAACTAAGATCCTGCAGGGTCCCTTCTGGGCCTAAGTCCCCTATTAGCAGTGGTGCCTGAGGCCAATACTACATTGTAGAAATTAGAAGTAGTTCAAATTGGATTTTTTTTTGTTTATTTCAGAAACATAGTAGGTGTACAGAAATCTGATTTTTTTTTCTATTTTGTGTGTCCGTGTTTTGCTAGATATAATGTAAAACATTTTCAGGTTAGCAAAAACTATAGAACTAAGTACAATTATTTTAATACACTTCTTTTGATACATGTGAAGGTGAAAAACATATCCTAACAAGTTCAGCTTATCAATATAGGGGTAAATAAAACTAATCATTACTAAAATCCACTGCCTAAGACTGGATTTCAGTAGATTAAGTTGTTGATATTTTCAAATTAAATTATCCTGATTTGGTTTATAATATGCTAAAATGAATTCACGTTAATGTTTGGAGTTTAGAAAATATATCTATGATATACTTCATACTAATGCCCAAGGCTGCTATTGATCATTTCTGTCTTAGATGAATTAATGTTCATTTTGGATACTGACAAAATATAAACTAAGTCATAAATTTGACTGGAAGGAGAATATAAAGATGAGAAATGTGTGGACTCCAGAACACAAAGTGACACTCCAATGAACTGGTTAAACAGTAACAGTAAAAATGCTTTAAAATTAGATCTATTGGAAGAAAAGTCAAAAGAGAAAACAGTAAGAGAGACAAGTGCATAAAATATACAGTCATGTATCATACAATTGATATATCGTATAATTTACTATATTAGTACATCATTTATTTTCATTCCTTTTATAACTATTTTATAAATGGGCAATGTTGTCTGACATAGAGGTCCCTACACTATCTGCTTTCTTTTGATAAAAATGGTTAGGAGCAACTATCAAAACTAACAGCTAAAAAAATACATTGGCTGTATTTTAAACAAAAACTCTTAGTTAATTACCATAATCATGTATTATTTTCTGTTCATTATGGCATGTAAGCCAAGTATTGCAGCTTCTTTGTCACTAAGACCTATTTTTTATCATAGATTCTTAGTTTTTTAAGATATGCAAATATAGCAACAGATTCTATAGCAATACCTGGCTTCTAGAAACAAGGAATATGGACTTCCTCTGCACCACTATGACTTCCTCTGCACTAGTGCAAGAACGTATGAGGAAGAACAGAAATATTTCATACTTCAAGTAGTAAATCCTGAGGAAATTATTCTTTGAATTTTTAAAATAGAAATACTATAAAGGTAGACAAGCTTTAGTACATATAATACTGCCCCAGAGAAAAGCTATTATCCCGAATAGGAGAAACCTTCCTCCAATATAGGTAGTCCTCTAAGTCAGGGGTCCCCAACCACCGGTCCATGGACCAGAACCGGGCCACGGCATGCCAGCAATCGGGCTGCACAAAGCCCCATCCGCAGGATGCAGGCAGCACACAAAACCACGCACCCTCCAGTCTGCGGAAAAACCTCTCTCCACAGAACCGGTCCCTGGTGCCCAAAAGGTTGGGGACCTCTGCTCTAAGTTACAATTATAATTGACCTGACAATTTTGTTTATAAGTCATAATGGTCATTAAGCAGATAGAGGAGAAGCAGCCATTGGAACCTCAAATCTGGATCCTAAGTATCTGTCATACCTTTAGTGGTTACTAAGCAACTAATCATAAATAGACAACTATCTGTAATCAGAATCTAGCATAAGTATTCCAAATGTATCTACATTTAAAGCATTTAAATTTTACACTTGTATTGCCTAATAGTTATAATAGATTATACATATGTCTACATTTTGTATGGATTGAATATATATAAAAATAAAAGATTAAATGAACAGCATATAATCTTTATGTAAATAATACTGATGTCCAATGTAAACAAAAAGTCATAAATGTTAATAGTCTAGTTTCTGAAAAATAATAGGACTGTGAAATATTTAAGGATACTTCACATTTGATTCATTTTGAATAATGCAGAGAAATGTAATTAGCATAATTATTAAAACTAGAATACAAAGAGCATTCAAGAACAATGCCCACTTTTCTTGGCAACTTAAATAACTATTGTATTTGATACTTAAGAATAATATAACTAACATAAAAGGAATGTATCTTCAATTGTGGGGTTAACATCTAGTTGGCTAATGAAATGTCTGCAAGCAAAGAACCAACTCAGAGAGCACTAAGAGCTCCATAAATTTGGAATCCCTCAGCAGATTGCAATCAAAACTTTTATAGAAAGCAATGCAGCAAGTATATTAGTATGGTGTAAAATTGTTTAATTATATACAATTCAGGGCAAGCATACAAATATTTATTAGTTAAGGCCCCCTGTATTCAGTGGAATTACAGCAGCTAGGTGTATACAGCATAGTTGTTCCAGTTTCAGTTCAATACCTAATGGGGCCTAAGAAGTTAAATCAAATCCCCCATGAGAAGCCGGTATTTTAAGATTCGATTTGAAGGGAGGATTCATCCTCCATGAACCTATTTTACAATTTACAGATACATGTTATAACAGTAACACAGTAATATATATTTATATATTTCTAAGTTTGTAAAGGTCTATTATATTATGAAGATCATTGGGGGAAGCAAATGATGGCACGCACAATTATCACATTTTGAGCTACAGGTATGAAATAATAGCATTTGGATGATTTATGGCAAGGAACACTTCATTATTTTAGCATTGGAGTTTGCTATCAATACCACTAATGATTTATCGTATATAATTTAACTTTTATTGAATATCCTGCAGTGTAAGTTTTTTCCTACACCCTGACATACTGCAGTGCTCCCAATTTAATCCTTAAGGATTTGTAGGTATATAACTCCAATAAATAATATTATAGATATTTTATTATTTATTTAATTTCAATTAAATTATTGAAATAATATTGTAGACAAGAGCCAGTTTGGTCTAGTCTAGTGGTTAAGTCATCAGGCCAGAAACCAAGACTGAGAACTCTAGTCCCCCCCCCCCCCCTTAGGCATGAAAGCCAGCTGGTTGATTTTGAGCCAGCCACTCTGTCAGCCCAACCCATCTTACAGGGCTGTTGTTGTGCAAAAATTAGGAAGAGGAAGGAGTGTTAGGAATATTTGCTTCCTTGAGTTATTTATAAAAATGATAAAGGTGGGATACTTTTTTAAAAAAAAAACTTAATGCCTGAAAACATAGTACTGAAGAAACCTTACCACACAACTGTGATAGTATATAGTTATTACAAAAGAGGTAAGGTCTATAGAAATAATTTTTAACCGTCATTAGGATATTTTCCAGCGTATTATGTTGCAAACGTCAGGAAGCTGCCTCCATACAAGGCATCCTGTTTATGGCCTTGCAAGACCTACCAAGCCCGAGGCGTCTTTCACGTGCTTATGCTTTCTCAAGATGCGCCTTACCCAAGTAGAGGCGAATTCTTCCACTTTTTCGCTCACAAATCGGTGCACTGCAAGCACGAAGGGCAACAGCAGCAGGGTTCAACCCCCCCCCCCAAAAAAACCCTTGTCTTTCGCCCTACACGGAGAGGATACAAAAGCGAGCGGGGAGAGCTTTTCTAAGTGGGCGCTTTGCTTACGGTTAGCTCATGGCGGATTCTCCCGACCTGTGCCCTAAAAGAGGCTCAGCCTGCCCAAAGAACTAGCACTTACGGGCACCACAGCCCCTTTCTTCTTCCACCCAGGGAAACCCCATCCCCGCCTAGGGGCTCTACAACGCGGCCTCCGATCCCAAAGGGGAGGGGGGACGCGACAAGCCGAGGATTTGGTGGCTTCCCACCGTGGGAAGAGGAGGGAGAAGGTGGGGCGGAAACGGAGAGAAAGAGCACGAGAGTGGCAGAGTGTCCCTAACGGCTTTTATCTACCAGCCCATAACCACGGGGACGTGGGCGGGGCTCAAAAGTGCACGCGGGAGGAAGGGGGGGGTGTTCCGTGCATGCGTGTGGAACCGAAGAGGGCACTGAATTCTCTTTTTCTCGAGCACGCGCGCGGCGGCAATGCCTGGACTTCGTCAGCCCGCCCCCCCTTCCCTCCCCTGCACATTCTGTGTCCCGGGTGGCCGCAGCAGTTCCTCGGGGCCCAGTGTCCTTGTGCGGAAATGACACACGGTCCCGTCACGTCACGCGAGAGCGGAGCGCGCGGACCCTCTCGCACACAGATACACGCGCGCACTCACTCACACACGCACACTCACACAAAGCGCCAAGGGGGAGGGAAAGCCGGGGGAACCAGACACGGCCGTTCTTTTTTTAAAAAAAACAAAACAAAACACAAACCCACCCGAGACCAAGAAGCCAGGTGTCCCCACCCTCCTTTTTTCCACAGTGCCTAAGACGGAGCCAGGTAAGCCCCTTCCCTCTCCCAACTTTCTCAGGTCGGGCCCCGAGGCGGCCCCGCGCGTTATTCATTGCGGGGAGCTGTCGGGATGACTCGCCCGGCGGGTCGGAGAGCGGCGCGGCGGGCGATCTCCCCTGCTGGCGCAGAGCGGCCGTGGGAGCCATAGCTGTGCTCTCCGACCGGCGCGGCCGAGCAGCCCGGGCGCCACCGCCGTCGGTCAGCGAGAGGGAGGGCGGAAGGAAAGGCTATTTCCCCCTCCTCCTGCTTGGCTTCCAGCTGCCCACAGAGGGGGCTACCGCGGGATGGCGGGGGAGGGGGGAAACCTTGTGGCAGCTGCCGCAGCAACGGGAAAGGAGAGGCGCTGCTAGGAGGGCTGGTTTGAAAACGCGCTTCAGCGGGGAGCGAGCGAGCCCGGCCGTGGCCCCAGTCCGCTTCTCCCCAGTTGCTTCAAGTCCCACCTCCGCCGTTCTCGTTGCCTAGAGACTGCTCCCCGGATGGCAACGGGATCCTCTTTTGCGATTACTCGCAGGGCCTGGGCTGGCACCGTTGCTGCGTCTGCTGACCGCAGCGCTGTTGCCGATTAAGTTTTAAAGTTTCTCTCCTTGCCAGTCCAAGTTGCGAGGCAGAGGAAATATGTCCCCCACGTCGGCCATTTGGTGTGGCGTGGAGGGAGCGGGGGGGGGGAAGAATAGCCACGTGATCCGAAGCGCTGTCTCGCAAGCGTGTAAAGGGAGAATGTCTTCACGCCCCTGTGTTAGTTTACCTTACTGGGCCATTTCCTAACTTAGATGGTTCTTTCAGGATAGCGCTGGGTTTAGTCCTCATGGTCGAATTGGCCACTGACATAAGAAGACGTATAGAGGGCATAGCCAGGTAGACATGGAGCTCAGAGGAGCAAGCGGAGGCATGACTTCGAGGCTAACTTTTATGACAAATGGGCCTGTTCTATCCAATAACGGAGAACCTGCTGAAAGGATACAGCAGATGGTGCTGGCAGAAATAGGGACTTGGGAGGGAGGGTTGGAAGCAGTGAGGTCAATTTGAGATGCTGCTGACTCCAGAGAACAGGAGAGTGAATGAACAAGCTTAGTTAGTTGGAGTCCCATAGCTTTCAAGTTGCTGAAGCATCTGTGCATTGTCTTGAGGGCAGAACAGAGCAATGAGGGTTGAGTATCCTGTACCCACTTTCAGATGCCACACTTCATATGGCACATAGGCAAACAACTTGCCCCTTTAGTTAATTGCCCCTGATCAGTCTTGCTGTCCTGAATTCTTTTTGCTATCAGCTCAACAGGTGCAAGCTTTTTAGCTGTGGCTGAGATTAGATTTCCATGACATGGTGAAGAAAAGATGACATCATAATAGTTGTTGCTTGAGGCTTCCTGAGAGGGGTCTTCATTAGCTTTTCCAAGGAGTAGGAGACATTTTAATTCCTTAGGAAGCCATACAAATTTCATGTGGCAAAAAAAGCATCTTTGCTTGCTTGCTTTTGTTGTGCAGTGATAGCTGTTACTCCGACTAAGCAAGTGAATGTGGCTGCTTCTTGCAACTGCAATTTCATTTGGTGATCAGATAGGCACACAGTAGCTATCATTATCACTAGTGGAGAGAATGATGTTTTTAATTCTGTGGGGTACACACCCAAGAGGCTCAAACTACCTGGGAATTCCTTTGTTGTGGCAGCTAATGTTCATAAGCATCCCCTATTCAGGTAAATGCCAGTGGTATGGTAACAAGTGGCAGGGCAAGTAATACATAAGACAGTTGGCTTTTTCCCTCTTGTCCTCTCATACTTTATTATTTATACTTATCTTTATTATTCTATAAGTAAGTTATAGTTCTGTAGTAGTAGTATATTGTAGCAACAGTGACAGTATAAGAATATAGAAGAGATTTTGGGTAATGGGAACTGGCTAATGATAGGCTTCTTTACAAATGACAGATATTAATATCTTCACAGCATTTATATCAATGTAGGCATAAATAGGATCACAGGCATAATTGCTTGTTGTACAAGTTTATCAAAGTGTTTTAGCAATTTATAATATTATATTGGATAATATGGAACCTTGGATGGGTCCTTTCCCTATTACATGTGCACAAGTCCATAATCTAAAGAATTGCATTATAATATAAAGGCATAAGACATTATTCTTGCAAAGAAATGGTTTATTGTTAATGCCCTTTAAAAATATTTGTAAACCCTACATAGTTGGCACCATTTTTCTTTCTTTTTTAATAGTAATTTTATTCAGAATTATAAGTAAAATAGCAAAAAACGTGAAACAAACTAAAAAACTAAATTTTAAAAAATGCAGAAAAGAAAAAAAGGGAAAAAAGAGAACCAGAAAAGGGGAAAAAATAAGAACATAGCAAAAAAAAAAAAGAAATATATACAATAAACAAGTAACTTCCCATCTTCATCACAAATATAAATAATTTTAGGAACTTATCACCTCTTAAAATACAGCAAACAATCACTTATTCCCATATCTAATCTCTTTATCTATAAATAAATCCATAAAACCTCATCATTTCAGTGTTGATGCCAACAAAAGTCCATGAAAGTTATTGAAGATAGCAACATATTTATACAAGTAGTACTCGGCTTACAACCATTTGTTTAGTGACTGAAGTTACAAAGGCACTGAAAAACTGACTTATTACTGTTTTTCACATGACTGCTCCAGCATCTCCATGGTCATATGATCAAAATTCAGATGCTTGGGAACTACAGTAGCTCATATTTATAAAGGTTGCAGTGGCCCAGGGTCATGTGTCCGCCTCTTGTGACCTTCTAATAAGCAAAGTCAATGGGAAAGCCAAATTCACTTTACAAACATTTTACTAACATAACAGTTGCAGTTATTCCCTTAACAACAGTGGCAACAAAGGTCGCAAAATGAGGCAAAAATCACATAAGTCTCATTTAGCAACAGAAATTTAGGCTCAATTATCACAAATCAAGGATTACCTGCATTAGCTTTGATCAAATAAACCAACTTTATATATTTTTTCTAGTAAATCATACTCTTTAGCCCGCTCAAATGACCTAGAATTTGATTTCTTTTCATTTTATGTTAATTATATGTTAATTAAGACATCAGCTGATTTCTTTTGTGTATCTAATATAATATCTTTTTCCATGTCACTGTGATAGCTGTTATATTAAAATCCACTTTAAACTTAGTCTTGATCTTCTCAAGTAGAACTTGTTCCTCTTCCATAGCATCTTTTAGACACAGTCTATCTATAGATGCAGACACTATTAAATTAACTTTTGGGTCAGTTGTTTAAAAATATCCTTCAATATGTCCAGTCTTAAGATATTTTGCTTCATTCTGTAACTGTAAGTTGAATTTAAGTGTTTTTCTCCTTTAATTGTAATCTTTAGATCTTTCTAGTTCCCACTAGTGTTCAATTTTTAAAGTCTTACTTTATTACAGGTAGTCCTCAATTTATGACAGTAATTGAGCCTGAATTACTGTCATAAGTAATTGTAGTCATAAATCTAGACACTCACATGATCGGAAGTAATTTTCCATCATTTTTTGCAGCTGTTGTTAAGCAAACACTGTGGTTGTTAAGTGAATGCTGTAGTTGTTAAGCAAACACTACATTTGTTAAACATGCCCATTCATGGGCGTTTTTTGCCAGAACCCTGCAAAAATCCATCATGAATCACAGTCACATGATTGGAATACTGTGACTAATCATAAAGCTGACTGGCTGACATGTAGTCATTTGATGGTAGGGGATTAGCATGATCTTAATGAACCAAAAAGCACCCATTCCATGGCTGCCATAACTTCAAATGGTCATAATAAGATCCATCACTAAGTGAGGATTACTATATGTTTTTTTTTAATTCAAAGGAAAAGAATGTTTCCATAGGAAGTATTTTTATAATTAATTCCAAAATATTATTTCAAGTTAATCTGGTTCCTTATTCATTTGTAACTTTCTAAAATCAAAGTTTCAATTACCCTACCCTTTTGCTGTTTTCTACATTGGTGCTATAATCAATATACCTAAAATCTCCTTTCAAGACCGTTCAACTGAATAGGTGAAATTAAAGAATAAAATGGACTGGAACAGTGCATGTGTAGACCAGGAGAGAAAACACAGATTCTTTGTGCACACTATACACTTTTGTTTCTCATGAATGGAAGTCTGATCACCTAAATAAAGCTTGAGAAAGACAAGGAATCATTCATGAATGAACCTAACTTTTTTTTAAAAAAATAATTATTATTTTGTAGAGGAAAACAGTTGAGAGTTCTGAAATATTGGTTTAATAGCCAAATGGGTGTGCATTTAGATAAACTGCCTGGTCTATATTTTGTCGCATAGTCTAGAGCAGGGCTTTTCAACCTTTTCACCCATTGTACCACTTTTAGGATATGGCAATATCCGAGTACCACCAGTCGCCTAGCAAGATGTCAAAAACTTGATGACCAACCCAAAAAAGGAAAAAAGTGATAAAGTACAGGTAGTCCTCGACTTACAACAGTTCGCTTAGTGACTGTTCGAAGTTACAATGGCACTGAAAAAAGTGCCTCCCCAAGGCACAGCCGAGCAAGACGCCTGCCCACCCGACGGCACTCTTCCTCCTGTCTGAGGTTTCCATTGTTGTGAGCATTTCTGTTGAGGATTGGCAGTGGGGGTGGGGTGAGGGGGTGTTTGGTTTTTATTCCCCCCGTCTGCTGGGTGGTTGCAGCAGGTTTTGGTCACTTCACATGACCCTGGGACACTGTGACCGTTATAAACATGAATCAGTTGCCAAGCATTTGAATGTAAATCACAAGACCCTGGAGAGGCTGCAACATTCCAGTTGATCGGTGCTTCTTCTGGGCTCAGCAGAAGCACCAGGATCAGTGCCGAGCTCCAGCTGGAGCCTGGCGCTGATCCTGGCGCTTCCACTGAGCCCTGACAGCCCTGCAGCTCCAGCCATCTCTCGCTCAGGCTTGTGCAATGCTGCCACTGGTTCAGCTCATTCCCCTCCCCTGCTGTCACTTTTCTAGGATGATCGTGTACCACCTGCCAGGTGCCAATGTACCACAGGTGGTACCCATACCACTGGTTGAAAAGCCCTGGTCTAGAGAATGTTTTAGCCTATTTCCATTAACAGATATGTCAAATCCTGGTGCCATTTCAACTGTCTGTTCCCCTCTACTGGAATAAAATTAGAAAATGCTTATTTAGTGACAAAGCAATGACAAATATGTATACCTTCATACACAATAAGCTCATAGTCATTGAATAGGCAAAGACTTCCCATTGATTATTTGATATCAGAGATATGATTTTCCTTACTAGGAAAAAAAGGAGGGAATATTTGCAATTGTTCCCTCCCTGTTTATTTAAAACACATATAAAGGGAATGCACTTAAAAGTAGTTCCAGAAGATTGGAAGATGCCGAGCCACTGACTATTTCTATTGCACACTTCTTTTGTTTCTTTCTGATATTGAAAAGAATTTATTTCAACAGGTAGGATCCATAGGATGGCAGCCTAAGTAATTAGAATGACTATAAGATAATCCTTTTTCTGACAATGAACTAATTCTTCCAAAGGAATTTAAAAGATCAAATGTATCCCTAAGATTTCCAATCCAATGTTAGTTTCTTGAATGCAGAGTTCTTTTTATGGAAAGAATTGCTTCAAATCTCCTTTGTCTTTACTTAAAAGCTTACTGTTGTAATGAAATGAGAAGTAGGACAGAAAAAAAAGAGAAGATATCCCCCCCTTACCCCAATAACTTCTATTATGGAAAATTGATTTAACTGAAATGACTTTAATGGAAGAAGTCTCATTCACAGGAAGACTCAGTTGGATCCAGGTCTGTCATGAATACATATACTATTAATATATTTTCCTTAGGAGGATCTGTGTTGCTAGTCTCTTAAAGAATCAACATATTTATTTCGTACAGCTTTGATGAAATCTGACACTATTGTAATTCTTTACATTCTTAATAATATTAATTCATGACCCAGCCAATATATTTTATGCTAGTCTACCAAACAACAGAAGTAAATGTTGCCCTTGTATAGAATTACAATATATGCATTGTTGCCTAAAACTTAAGTATGGCCTACAATTTGATGTACATATTACCTATGCACCAGAAATGCTACATTTGGGTCATGGATTATATTATGCTTATGTTTCATCTTCTATTTTTTTCTTGTTCTAATAATGTAGAGAAACAGAATATGAATTCAGCTGAATTGTTTGATGATGAAGATAATACTGACGGTACTGTTCTTTAAATATATTTCATTATCAAATTATAATATTTATGTATCCAAAGGCAATATTTATTTTGATATAAGAATTGTAACAATGAATTGGGCATTTTAATGTATAAATGTTATTTTTTGACTCTCCTATTAATGCTTTTTATTTTTCTAATATCTTTTGTACATTGTGAGAAAACGGAGATTTTATGCATGTTCAATTCTAAATAAAAATAGATAATAACCAAATACTTTTATTGTGGGAAAGTATTGGCAAAATTGGAAGGTTAATTGGTTCCTTGGCAAAATGTTGATCATTCTAATCTCCTATATTAGCAATATGAAATATGCCTGATGGCAAATGTAAAAAATGTTTTCAATCTGAACGTCAAAGTGAGTCCAGACAAGCATTTGTGGAGGGTCATGGCCCCAAATAGGTAGAACCATATTTCAGATGGCATCACCATCTTACTATAGACATATAACTTCTAGCATACATGTATAAGCAAGAAACTGAATTCATAGATTAGTATTTGCATATTCATTTTAATCTTGGTCATAGGAAAGTGATTTAAAGCCCGATTGTAGCTGGTGTGGGAGTAGTTTTAGAGGAAGGTTGCAATTTTTGAAGTTGAAATATTATATATTTTTTTCCTTTTCCACCAATGATCCCTGCCTTTTTCATTATTATTAGCACAATATATTGAATATGGATGGGAGCTCCCTGAAGCTGGGGAGGGGGCAGTCAGGGCCTAGAGCAGTGTTTCCCAAACTTGACAATTTTAAGGCATGTGGACTTCAACTCCCAGAATTCCACAGCCAGCGTTGCTGGCTGTGGAATTCTGGGAGTTGAAGTCCTCATGCCTTAAAATTGTCAAGTTTGGGAAACACTGGCCTAGAGGAAAGGGTAGGGTTTGAGAAGAAGGAATGGGCCTCCTAGATGTTTTTCAGACAAGTTGAGGCCATATAGTATACCATAATTAATTCATAGCCTTCTCTATAGTATGGGATTTGCATGAAATTGAAAATACTATATATAATTGTTTCAAACTTGGAACAAAATTCACATTCCAGACATTCTACTAAAACATTTTGGATGCACTCATTTTTTCTGGCAAAAATTCAGACGTTTTTTAGGGCAAAAAAATCAGACATTTTGATTGTTTCAGGCTTCAGATGAAACAAAATCTGGAGGTCCAAGATCTGAATGTGATTATGCAGGCTGGTAGGGCAAGGCTAGTGGATGTGACTCCTCCTGGAATGGGACAACTCATTGCCAGATTGCCACTGCCAAGTTGCCTCTGTCAGCTCACCGCTGCCAAATCACCACAAGACAACTCAACATGGGCAGTTCACCACAGGCACAACTTGCCACAGGCGGCCGGAGAGCCAGGCGAATAAGGGAGTGGGTGGGCAGAGCGCATAGTGGCAGTGGCGACCAGGAGCTTCCCACTGGAGGGAGAGCCAGGCAAGCGAGCGGGTGGGCAGAACGCAGAGCAGTGGCAGACAGGGACTTCCCATTTTCACACCCTCACCGCTGTTACTGCTGTTGCTGCTACTCCAAGCTCCTAGCTGTTTGGAGTTTGGGCTGTTTGGAGGCAGCTGGGACAGGTGGGGAAGTGGCGGCCAGGTGCATCCCATTTTTATACACCCCACTGCTGCTGCCATGCCAGACTCTGAGCTGTTTGGAGTTTGGATTGTTCAGCAGTGATGGTGATGTTTGGACCATTCAGCCATGGTTGCGGTGGGTGGGGTGAGCAGTGGGGAGGTGGTGGCAGCCAGGCATCCTATTTTCACACACCACCGCCGCTGCACTGGCCTAAACTCTGAACGGCCTGGAGCTCAGTGAAGTGGTGTCAGAGGTGTGTGAAAATTGGAAGACACTGCTGCTCTGCACACCTGCCTGGGTGCCTGGCTCTCCCCCTGGTCACCTTTGCCAAGTTGTCCCCATACAGATGATTTGGAGCACTTTTGTAAGAAGAGTAGACAAAGATTCCAAAGGCAAGATGTGCCATGCTGATAGGCTACTACCCAAAAGACCGAATGCTGTCATAAAATCAAAAGGTGCTTTAAAGTATTAGTTGAAGGGAGTGCACACCTGTGCAACCACATTGTTTTAAGTTTTTTTATTTTTATTCCTGCCCTAAAATATTTCAGTTTGTTTTTCAGTTGTATTGTACAGCTTACATAAAACAGCTGAACTTTATATGGGCTTGATCAGAATAACTTTAATTAATGGCAGGTGTATACTGACTACTATTTACCATCAGTCTGAATGTGATTGGTTAATTCTTAACACAGCAACATCCCTACTTATAAGAGGATGTGCACACTTATGCAAACATGTTATTGCACATTTTTATTATTTCCCCTGAAAAAAAGAATTCAGTTTGTTTTTCAGTTGAATTGTACAGCTTTTATGTTACATTAAGGAAAAAATTCTGAAGTGATTTATCTTGGTCTGTTATTTTACATCTCAAAAATCTGGCATTTTAATCAGGGTGTGTAGACTTTTATATCTAGTGTATGTATGAGGGTATACAATATTTTCATGCTATTCTCTTCAGGATAAGCAACATAATACAAAATGCAGAAAAGCAAAAAAAAAATTAAATGCAGAAAAGCAAAGATGTGGAAATCTAAGTAAGTTGATCTTACCCCAACACCATCCATTATATTTTTTATATCCACTATATATCATATCAAAACATGTACCTGGAATCAGTAGCTGATGAATTTCCTATCTATGTTATCTTTGTTACTCTTTTTCTTTCAATTAGGTATTAAAAATAATATGAAAGGAGAAACTGATAAAGAAGATGAAGCGCTAGACTGCTCTGTGATTTCAAGACCTGAAAAAAATTCACTGGATGGTTTAATAACTTGCCTACAAGACATCAACAAGCGAAAACGAACCTCATTTTGCTTTGATGGTTCAGGGAACCACAAAGAAATTCTGCCAAGTGTGAAAAAAAGAGGCATTACCCAAGAGGTAACTTCTTACATATAGCTATTTAGAGCATCTTAAATTTACTGTTTTATCCTTCTGGGATTGTTGATAAATATACATTTATATCAACAGTGAAATATATTTGACCAGACCAAAATAATTTTTGCTGTTAAGTTCAGATCTTGCATTATGGAAGTAATATATAAATAGTATATTCAAAAATTCAAACAAGATTGAAAACATACATTTTAAACTATTATTAGATAACATTTATTTAATACATGAAGTGTACTAGATTAAAGCAGATTTTGCATATTCAAACCAGTAATTTATTTAAAATGTCAGTTTCTTCATATTTTTGTCATTAGAATCCTTACTGATTAATTTAGGTATTCCTCTAGATTTCATCTAAAATAGTGTATCTTTTAACATTTGTACTAACAAAACTAACAGATGCATTTTGGTTAAGTACAACAGTAATATTAGAGATGTTTCATAGTGAAAGTTTAGGCTTAGTTTCTGAAACTATAAACATGTTATGTTATGTGTATGTTACGCTACGTTTTCCTCTTGCAGCTTTGTGTTTTTAAAAAAATTATTCAAATTAATTCTAAGGCTTAGAATTCCCTGATAGTATCACATCCAAGAACTAAATCATCATCATCATCATCATCATAACTAAAATGGATAAAAAGACCAGAAAAATAATGACAATGAATCAATCATGCCCTCCATCCACGCAGTGACATTGACAGACTTTATCTACCAAGGCAAATAAGTGGGTGTGGAATGCTGCAAGTACATCAGATGGTTGAAGAAGAAAAAATGGCTTTGGAAGAATATCTGAAGGACAGTGATGAAGATGCACTGAAATTAGTATATCAGGAAGGCTTACTGATTACTGGAGAGACCAAAATGGCCTACAAGACAGACCAAATGAAGAACAGAATAGAGGCATAGGAAGACAAAGCACTACAAGAATAGATGAGAAAGAACTGGAGAAGATAACAAAATACAAAGACCTACAAATAGAAATAGAAAGACTGTGGCAAAAGCAAGCAAGGGTAGTACCAATAGTAATAGGCTCCTTGGGTGCAATCCCAAAACAACTGGAGCACCATTTGAACACCATTGGCATTGACAAATTCGCCATTAGTCAATTGCAAAAGGCGACCTTACTAGGAACTGTTTCCATCCTGCAACAATATCTGTAATACCATCAAACATCTACATCTGCTTATCCCAGGTCCTTTGTTAGGACGCAATAGGTAGAAAAAATGCCAAATCCAGTCTGAACATCTGGCCGTGTAATGATCCACAATAATGATGATGATGATAGTGGTGGTGGTGGTGGTGGTGATAAAGAAGAAGAAGTTGGAAGGGATGTTGGAGATCTTCTAGTCCAACCCCCTGCTCAGGCAGGAAACCCTATACCATTTCAAACAAATGGCTGACCAATCTCTTCTTAAAAACTTCCACTGTTGGAGCATTCACAGCTTCTGGAGGCAGGTTTTTCCACTGATTAATTGTTCTAACTGTCAGAAAATTTCTCCTTAATTCAGGGTTGCTTCTCTCTTTGGTTAGTTTCCATCCATTGCTTCTTGTCCTGCCTTCAGGTGCTTTGGAGAATAGCTTGACTCCCTCTTCTTTGTGGCAGCCCCTGAGATATTGGAACACTGCTATCATGTCACCACTACTCCGTCTCTTCATTAAACTAGACATACCCAATTCCAGCAACCGTTCCTTGTAAGTTTTAGCCTCCAGTCCCCTGATCATCTCTGTTGCTCCTCTCTGTACTCTTTCTAGAGTCTCAACATCTTTTTTCCATCGTGGTGACCAAAACTGGATGCAGTATTCCAAGTGTAGCCTTACCAAAGCATTGTAAAGTGGTATTAACACTTCATGTGATCTTGATTAACCTGCTTAGTTTTTCAGTCCAGCCAATGTCAGCCATTTACTGTCACAGCTCAACTTGACCAAGACTACTTTTTTTTTGCCTTTGCCTTTTAATGCAAAACGTTCAAAACAAAATCTACATAATAAATTAAAATTTTTAAAGTAATATACATGAAAATATTTCAATATTTCCCCTTAATATTTTCCATTTCCCCTTAATGTGCATTACTCCCATATAATTTAAAATGAAAAGCTGCATTTATATGTCTGTCTATCCATATTTTAAATAATATTTGAATAATTTGTAGCTGAGTATTCAAATTTAAATATTGTCTGTTCATACAAACATTGTGTTTTCTAAGTGTTTCCAAAAAAGCCCTTCAGATCAAAATATCACAGAAGAAATATTTCAAAAATATATGCAAAATGGCACACATTCAAATTTTATTTACAATCTAAGACCAAACACAATAAGTTACAATTCATTACCTACAAAAAGGAAATTTAAATTGCAAAAAAAAAAAATCCTAATTACCTAGCTAACAATTAATAGCATGAGGAAGGAACCTGGTGATTTCTAATTGCTACAGTTATTTATAAGAATTTTGCAACCTTCTTAGAGGTTTCTGACCCGAAGAACAGTAACAACTTCCTGGTCAGATAGCAATTAAAATTATTAATAATTGGAAGTATTAAACCTGCTGATCATTGAGTGTACAATGTAGCATATGTGAGATAGATTGTATCTTTGAGTCTGAACAGACACAAGTTCAGCTTTTATATGCCAGTTGTTGCCCTAATAGATAGAACCCCAATTCAGGCCAAAGTAAGTAGTCTGCTATGTGGAACACGTAAGATGTTACAGAAATGTATAGAGACAGACCAAGGAGGACAAGTGATTATGCTGTAAAAGGGATGGGAGACTTCAGGTCTGTTATTTTAGATATTTAGATCTCATGTCCTCTGCTTTAGTTCAGCCAGGGTTTTATCAAGTCCCAAAGCAGATAATGCTAATAAGGTAAGATTGCATTGTGCCAAATTGTCGTTAATTTGCTTTCTTTGATTGGAAGAGAGCCTATCCAGTAAGGGGAGATGAACTAAGGAAATTCTCCAGTAGACTTGCCTCAGCCAGTATCTCAGATGACAAAATACACAGCACAAAAATATATTTGAGTATTTATTCCATACATAATTATGGCTGAAATTAGAATAAACAGGTTTTTATCAATATAGGGAGTTTAAGAAAATATCTAACATTGTTTTGTGCAACTGCTCTTCAAATATTAATCAAAGCTCTTATATATTGAGCCTTGATATATATACAATCTTGGGTCAATGAAAATAAATGGGAATATTTCAGCTATTCTTTCTGGGACAATAATATTTATTTCCTTGTGTTTCAGTGCATGTTTGCCTTTGGCAGTATTTAAATAAGCATTAGGTTAATAAAAAAATAAATAAGATCAGATTTTAAATTTTAAAGTGTTCACATATGTTTTTATGTTCTGCATTTTACAATTTGATATTGATCTTGTGATACAAAATTGTGTTTGCAAAATATAGAAATCAGTTGTGTGCTGAATTACTGAAGACACACAAACAATAAAAAATATTAGTATGAATTATGACTAATGGTAGATGGAGAAATTCAAGAAATAAAGGGTATCAGGTACAAATTTATATAAGCATCTTGCATTATTTTGATGTCTTCATTAATACATTATGCCCATTTGCAGCTTCTTTGACATTTCTTGTATTTCCTTTACCAGAAGATATTTACAAATAGATACCAATTTGGACATCATAATAATTCAGTTGCTATATCGTACATAATGGCTTAGATTTGAAAGACTTTGTTTGTGGAAATCATTATATTGAATGGGGGATGCCAATGGTTAAAAGGAAATAAATAAAGGAAATAATTTTCTGAATTCTTACATTTATATTCTCTGTTCCAGCAGAAAATCTAGCCTTGCAGATGTTGGGTGAAACAAAGTACTCTGAAAGAGCAGATTCAAAATAAGTCACATTTTTTTTTCTGCTGGTGATATTAGGATCCAAGCAAATAAGTCTGATATACGGGAGGGACATGCAGATTGTTTGAAAGGTGCACTTTGGGAAACATGTTAGCATGTTTCTCCTTGAACAATTAAATAGTTCTCTCCAGTAGGCTTGATGTTGCTGCTTTGATGGCTTTTTCAATTGATTCTGCATCTAGGCTAGACTGGTATAGCAATTATGATACTGGACTAGAATCCAGGAGATGTGAGTTCTAGTCCTCTCTTAGATGTGAAAGCCAACTGGGTGACTTTGAGTCAGGTACTCACTCTCAGCCCAACCACCTTACACAGTAGTTGTATGGAAAATTGTACATGGGAGCATTATATAAATCCCTTTTCTTCAAAATAAAACAGATGATGATGATGACAATAATAGGCATATTCAAGCAACACTTCCATAGGTACTGGGGAAAACCTTTGAATCAGCTGTGACAAGCCTCTCAGAGGATTGAGCTGTTTTAATGCTTCGGAGAAGAAATGCTTTGCTTCTGTGCATATATTTCATGATGTGATTCTTTTGAATGTTTTATACAACTATAATTTATTTAGATGTATACATTTCCCTATTATCTCACAATGCTCAGGATGACTTCCACTAATAAAATCACAATCAAGATAATATTAGAATTTTGAATATTAAAATAACCTTAAACATTGTTGTTAAAAATATAAAAGTTCTAAAAATATTTAAAGACAAATCTATTAGGGCCACTTAAATTTAACAGAGCATTTTTCCTTTGGAGAAGGTTAGGCCTAGAAAGAATGAATAGCTCAGAACTGCCATTGAGCTCGTGGGTAGCCTTAAACAGAGGTCACTTTGGCCGTAATCTTTGGCCCTAATTTTTTATACTTTAGGTCAGGGGTAGGCAACCTTGGCTCTTTTATGACTCGTGGACTTCAACTCCCAAAATTCCTGAGCCAGCCATGCTGGCTCAGGAATTTTGGGAGTTGAAGTCCACGAGTCATAAAAGAGCCAAGGTTGCCTACCCCTACTTTAGGTCATGATAAGTCTAGAGGGCACAAAACTCATATCATTACCCTGCAGAGGGATTTATAATTAATAAGAAAGGAGGAAGGATTGAGAGGAAAGGAGAAAATTGTAAGGATCAGGCTGGAAAGGAAAAACAGATAGACTGTGATTATTAACTCGAAGCACCTGCACTAAGCCACTGTATCCTGTTTTGTAACCTGTAGTATATTTAGACAAATTTAAGAGAAGATAACTTAGGGCCAGGTAAGAGCTCCTCCTCCCTCTCCCAACATTGGTGAATAAGAATGTCTGTTTTGAAAATGAAGTTGCAATGTAAGGACTAATGCAAGTTATGGGATGGAAGTCCTTACTGAATACAGGTGGTCCTCAAGTTACGAATGTAATGGAGCCTGCCCATTCCATTCGTAACTTGAAAATTTGTGGGAGTGAATGTCGTACCTTGAACAAAATCACTCCCTGCTCGTTAAGACACATGGGGCTCATTGAGTGCACATGAGGTATCTCAGGGTGGGGAAAGCAATGGAGGACCTAGTGATGGAACAGGCCCCCAAGGCCTCCCTGACCCACTAAGATACCTCCCTCCCTTCTTGCTGCCCCGGACTGACTTACCTTGAAAAGATCTGTCTCCTCTCTGCTGCAGTTCCTGCTTTTGAAGGACAGGAGAGTTGATGGAAGCTCCTGCATGCCATAATGTCGCACAAGTTCAGGTACCGATCCTCTTTTGCAGAGAATGGGTGCCTCAAGTCTTGCGCTGTTTGCGGTGCCTGCCTCCTGCTCCAGATGATCTTATCAGTGACAATCTTTTTTCTGTTGAAGATGATTGATCCTAAAAGACAGCAGTTATCTATCATTTCAATATTTTCATTCTCAGTTCTAATATTTTGTGGACATTTCATTTGAATTCATAAGTATTAATGGTATTAATTTTTTTCCTTGGCCCTTCTAGTTTTTGGAATAGTACCTCAGATCAGCAAGTGTAAACAAGCATGCATTTATGGACAGATATGCAAGTGTCACCTAGATATATTTATTGGAGGAAAATTTCTTGGGAATCTGTTTTACCTGTAGCTGGCAATCCTAGGTTGACAAGCTAGAGAAGCAATATTACGTGGGATTTTAATATAGGCTTCTTTTGTTATTCTGTCAAATTATTTATTTTGTTTTATATTTTGAATATCAACTTACATTCAGGATTATTTTCTGATCTAAATCGTAAGCAGTAACAAATGACTGCTAAAGTAATATTCTAATGTTTGGTTAATTCTAGTTAAATTAAGATTAATTTAGTCGTACTTAGTCAATAGATATAATTATTTTTGATTTAATGGAATGTTAATGACTTTTAGAGAACTAAGTTCAACTAACCTAATCTATAACTGACCTTATGTCAAATTAGATTAAATCAATGCCTTGTTTAAATTCGGACAACGTATTACTTGTTCCTTAAGGACAAGTTAAGAACTTATTCAAAAGAATTATAAACTAATGACCTGTTTGTTTATTGAAAGGATCAGACCTCAAACTTGAGATGTAGAGATGGATTGCCTACTCAGGAAGATGTTGAGCAGCCAAGCAAGAGCAAAAATTCCAGTCTAACATGGATTTGTGAGGAAACATTGAATAACACTGTTATGCCTTCATATAAGAAACCTCTTTATGGGATCTCTCACAAAATTACAGAGAAGAAGACTTTGCCAGGAACAGAACAGTTTACCACCTTTGAGTTATTTGAAAAGATTAATCCTAGCAGTCCCTCCAATCTTAGGACTTCGAATGAGCAGCGGAAAAGAGAAACAAGTAATATTACTGCCGAATCTGATTCAAATATCTATTCTTTAATACAAAAAATGTTTTATACACTGAATACATTAAATTCTAACATGACTCAGCTGCATAGCAAAGTAGATCTGCTGTCGCTAGAAGTCAGTAGAATTAAGAAACAGGTCAGTCCAATAGATGCTGTTGCAGAATTCAAGCCACCTCCTGAATATCAGCTGACTGCCTCAGAACTCAAACAGATTATGGATCAAAGTACATCAGGTGGTGATCTGGCTTGCCGATTACTTGTACAACTTTTTCCAGAACTCTTTAGTGAGGATGAATTAAGTAAGGCCTGCACCACATGTGGTTATCTTAACAAAAAGAAACTTGAATCACTTCATCTGCAGCTCATCCGAAACTATGTGGAAGTCTGTTATCCATCTGTGAAAAATCCTGCTGTTTGGCAAGCAGAATGTTTGCCTCAGGTCAATGACTTTTTCAATAGTTTTTGGGCTCAGAGAGATATGGAAAATGGTCAATCAGATATACAGTCCTCCAGTTTTTATGAGTCTGATCATATTAATGATAAGGATGATGAAGAAGTTCTACCTATCGATAGAAATATTTCTGTTGCCTCAGAATGGGTATTTGATGCGCAGGATATAAATGAATTTTTAGATGAAGCATCTTCTCCTGGAGAATTTTGTGTATTTTTGCTACACAGATTGTTTCCGGAACTCTTTGATCACAGAAAATTGGCTGAAAGATACAGCTGTTACGGAGAGTGTGGAAAACAAGAACTTGATCCTCAGCGACTTCAGGTAATCCGCAGATACACAGAGATTTACTTTCCTGCTATGCAGGAGAGAAAGGCTTGGTTACAGCATTGTGTTCAGCGAATAAATGATGAACTTGAAAGCATGTATATGGATGACAGTGAGAATGAACAGATAAGAGATGATTGCTACGATTCTTCAAGTTTGCCTGATGATGTGTCAGTTATAAAAGTAGAAGATAATTGTGACTATGAAAGACCAGGTAGAAGATCAAAGAAGATTTGGCTTGTGCCCATAGACTTTGATAAACTTGATATCCCTTCCCCTGATTTTGATGTTCCTGTCTCCGATTATCTGTTAAGTAAGGAGCAGCTTAAGAATATATATGAAAGTAGCTTATCTATAGGTAATTTTGCTTCTCGGTTGCTAGTTCACTTATTTCCTGAATTGTTTACTCCTGAAAACTTAAGGAAGCAATACAACTGCAGTGGCTCACTAGGCAAGAAACAACTTGATCCTATTAGAATTAAATTGATTCGACACTATGTTCAAATGCTGTATCCAAGAGCAAAGAACGATAGAGTATGGACACTGGAATTTGTTGGGAAACTGGATGAAAGATGCCGTCGGAGAGATACTGAACAGAGACGCACCTACCAATTGCAGCGAAAAGTCCATGTACCGGGACCCGAGAGGAGAGAATTCCTGACCTATGCAATAAACCCAGAACGATTTAAAGAGGAATTTGAAGGACCACCATTGCCTCCAGAAAGAAGCAACAAAGATTTTTGCAAGATACCACTTGAGGAACTTATTGTTCCTCCACCAGACTTTTCTGTGCCTTCTCTATATTTGCTGTCTGATAAAGAGGTAAGAGAGATAGTACAACAAAGTCTTTCAGTTGGTAACTTTGCTGCCAGACTCTTAGTAAGACTTTTTCCAGAGCTTTTTACTTCAGATAACCTCAGACTGCAATACAACCATTCAGGGGCTTGTAACAAAAAGCAGCTTGATCCTGTCAGACTGAGACTCATCCGCCATTATGTTGAAGCGGTTTATCCTGTTGAAAAGATGGATGAAGTTTGGCATTATGAATGTATACCTAGCATTGATGAAAGATGCAGGCGTCCAAATAGAAAAAAGTGTGACATATTGAAAAAAGCCAAGAAAGCAAAAAAGTGATCTTTTAAGTTTCCAAAGATGGTAACTTCAGTTATTTTGAAGTAGCTTGAGAGGTCAGTTGGTTTAGCACTAGGGCAACTGATCAATACATCTTTTGTTTCATATGTGTTGACACATACAGGAAATGGGTAAGAAGTAGGAAGTGATAATTGAATTAGAGTCTCTCTTAAAAGCCCTACTGAAACAAATGCATATGGCGGAAAAAGCTATTTTATAACTCCACTTTAGTATGCCTTTATGTAGCTTAGATTTCTTGCTGTTTTTTCAGTTACCACCTACCTAAACTGGATCACAAGGAACTACAAATTATTAAGAATTGATCTAATAATATATCATCTAAATATAATATTCATCAGTGGAAATAAATTAGTGTTTAATTTTTAATTAATTTTAAATAGTAATTAACTTCTTTAAGAGTTTTCAACAGGGACCTTTAATCTATCATTTGGAAATTAATTTTTAAATATTTCAAAACTCCAATTTTAAAATGTTATACCTCTTTAAGAAAGAATGGAAAATCACAACAGTTTCTATGCTTATGAATACTCCTTGTATCAAGTTTGAATATTAGGAAAGGAAATATTGCAAAATCAAGTTATCACTTTTAAAAAATAATTTTTCATTTTGTAGTTGATTTGGTGTAAAAATTAAAATTATAATCATGGGGTTATTTAATGAGTGTTTATGTTAAAACTGTAGTATTGATTTAATTTTTTATTCATATAAATTATTGTTTTCTGTGTAATCTTGATAAAAGAACTACTGGTATGCGTGGAGATTGTGAAATATAGAATCCTACTCTGTATCAGTAAAAGTGGTGCTATTACCTGTTATACTCACTACTTCAAAAAAAAAAATACTTGAATTGAGGAATGTGCAAAACACTTAAGTCCATATTTTTATCAGTTAAATTACTGCAGCTTTTAAACTGTTGAAAATATTAAATATACTATCTATATTTTTATTTGAATTATATACTAAACTCTATCGTATATTGATTAATTATCTTCAAATACAGTGACACCCAAATAATTTCATTATCACAAAGATTATAAACTTCTTTAATCATTGTTCAGTTGATTAAAATCATTGATTATATAGTTCCACTAAATATATGTTCAGTAAACATTAAGACATTTTTGTTTTGTTTTTTTCTGAAGGGTATTACATTGTGTCAGGGCTTTATGGTTTCTTTTACTGCAAGTCATGAGATTCTCATAATAGAATAAAATCATATTCCCAAACTGACATTTCCTTGTATGTGCTGGGGCTGGATTAGATTGAAATGAAGTTAACAGTATTTCAATCCCACTGAAATCACTCATGACTAACAAATTCCAGTAAGTTGTTCCATGAATTTTTACCTGGCAAAAACAAGACTTCCAGATCCAACCCACTGATTTTTTTTTCTGAAATGCCCATAAAGCTCTCCAGCATTGGTTTAGAAAAATTGACCCTTGTCTATGGATTTGCTTTCCCCTTGAATAGTGTAAATTGCATACAAGACGATCAGCATGTACACTTGAATGCTCTGTAGTAGAATGCTTGTTCAGGACTAAGGATGATGTCATTTGACTTCCAGTCATTTCTAGTTTGATACACTTGTTACACTTGCAAATTATGTAGATAACATATATGCATATATACACACATTGTGTGTGTGTGTGTGTGTGTGTGCTATTGTCTCCACAGAATCAACCCTCTTTTGAGTTGCTAGGTTGAGCAGCGAGAAAGAGTGACTGACAAGTCACCTTCATGCCTAAGGCAGGTCTAGAATTCACAGACTCCTGGTGCTTTAGCCAAACTGGCTTGAACAATTGATTTAAAATGGACATTTTGTGCAGAATATATTACCCCTGCTTATGATGAAAGAGGTACTTGCATCGTAAATAGAGCAGAGAACATAAGATAAACTGATCAAAATATTTTCCTTTATAATTTATTAGACTCAATTAATAAAGGGTTTAATTGTATGCTATGCATTATTTCTAGCGTCTTGGACATTAGAAAACATTCTGAAAATAACATGTTCTTAATCTTGATAATAATTTTGGGAATATGAACACAATCCTGACCATGTTACGGAAAAGATTATAAACTGTTTGAGCTTTTTTTGGTAAATGTTAATTTTATTCATTTTTATAGTGCGAAGCCTGAATGGTAAATGAGTGAATTTTGACAGTGTTTCTTATTTTGATAATATTTTAGTCAACTTTTCACCTTTTATGATTTGCTGAGGAGGTTCTGCTTTAGTATACTCCCTACAGGTTGTCCCATTCACTGAAACGACACAGCCTTTGCTATGGAAGGATCAGAATCGCATTGTTAGTGTTGTTGAGGTGCTTTCAGTCTGAAAGCAAAAAGATGCTTTAGAGCACACAGGAACACAAGCCAAAGCACATGCCTGCAACTCTCTAAATCACAATTATTCTTTCCTAGGATCATGCAACAGGATAGGAGGACAGCTGTATGCCATTCCAGTAAAAGGCATCATTGCTTGAAGCATTTGCAGGCAGACCTACTTTTTGCAGCTGAACACTCTGAGCACCGTTTTGCCTTCTAATTGAAACTGCTGCACAACCCAGTTTGTTGTGGCAGTGAGGTGTTGATACAATTACTGTGTGTGACACATTTCTATTTATCCATTTTTTAACATACGTTACTTGGATGTTAATATGTACCGCATGTCACTTTAGAAAAATGTTTTTGTTTTTTCTGTTCCAAAAACAATGGATTTTTACTGAGTTAAAAATGAAGAGGTCAATGGAATTGTGAGGAAAGAGATGGATTGATTAGAACATTTCCTTTCCTAACTTTCTACCAAATTTCTCTCCACTTTTAGTTTTATGGGTTGGCTTCAAAATTCACACTGGCTTCAAGTAAAACAGGTGATAATCTTCACAAATATCATGATGCAAATCTGCATCTTCTACTTCTGTTTCTCAACTGCCTTTTGAAGGTTTCTTCTGCTGTACTGGCCGGAGAATCCTAGCTTAGTTTAATGTGGTAGTACCAAACTACTTTTTCTTGGTCTCAGGGCCGGGGGTGATTTCAGCTTTTTCTCTCAAATAGCTTTCCTAATATGCTATATTTGTTAGCTGAATGTACCACTCTTGGAGAGTAAAGAAGAAATGATTTACAATAAGTAAATAAACGTTAATCTGAACTAAAACATATACATTTATATAGAGGCACTCATTTTATATCCCTCAATTTAGAAGTAGCAGTTTTTGTTGCTCATCTGAACATGGCAAAAATCATGTATCAGGTTTTCGGTTCTACTAAACTATGAAACAGCCAAAAAGTTGTGGCAGAGTCTACAGGACGCGTATTGTTTCTGAATTCCAAACAAAGCATCACTTCCAATATGGTGTAAATCCACACTTTATTTCGTTTTTGTTTTTTCCTGCCAGGGTTGTTTTCAATCTTCCTGCAATTCCCCCCACCTCCCACATATTACTGCAATAAAATAAATGTGCTTCTGTTATCTTATTGCTAAAATAGATACCAGTGAAACTCCAACACAAAATTATTTCTGTGTTCAGTATCATTTTGGAAACATTTTAGCTTCTGATGATCAGCATATCCTTGAAGGGTGTACAAAATGTACAAAATGCATTTATACAATTTCTTATATGACATTTATTGAGCTACTATTAACATGATTTCATTTTAATGCGGTAACATAGGTTTTTAATTCACAAATATACCATTATAAAACAAGAGACTGGGGGAGATATCTAACACTTCTCACTTGGAAACTTGTGAGCTTTTTTGGCTCACAAAAGCTTTGATGAACATTATTACTTTTTACACTTTCTCTCTTTTTTTTAGTATTTCCTTAGCTAGCTGGTATGCCCTCATAATTTATGAATCTCTGCATATCTCTAATAGATGAGCCATAATACAGATGAAATCCAGCCAAAATCTTCCATCAGCTGAACAAGAAGCAGGGTGGTTTTAAAGGTGCCTTCATTAAAGAAAAGAAATGTACTTTGCTGCAGTGAACTAAATGAAAATCAGAGATATAAACTTTGATTTAGGGCCTCATGTCTGTTCTAATGAGCACCTGAGTTTCCATAAAGTCCATGGAAGACTAACTATGCAGACTTGCACAGCACACTGAAGTAAACAGAGTAACTCCATTTATTTCTATTTTAGAGCTTTATACTCTCATTGGGTTTTCAAGTGAGAAATATATGGCCACCTCTTTCTAATTGTTATCCAGTCAAGTAGCACACTTGTTTTCCTGATATACCTGATTCAACTTTAACAGTACCCCCTCTATTTTTATAACCATCTTATGCATGAAGGAACTCTGCTTTATACAAGTGAAAATACAGTGGCAAGCAGATTTACCTACATTCCACACTGCCACCTCTGGATGAAGAGGAAAGCAAACAGAAATGACTTGTTTCAGTTTTCATTCCTGGAAATGAGAACATACTACTAATCTATCTTGATATTTTCCTTTTTGATGTAAATAGTGATATTGCAAGTCACAAAAATATTCTAAAAATAATTTTTCCCCTTAAGATTAGCATTTGAGCTTCTGAGTCACGTGGTTAAGCAACAGCCACGACAATTTAAGATCAGGCTTGTCTTTTATTATTTCTCACAGGAACAGTGTTTTTTTTTTACTTCTGAAATGAAAACAGCAAACTTGGAAAGTCATGGAACAAACAGAAATAGCAATGTTTATAGTAAGGGAAGTGGCATGCCATCTCATAACCTTTAAAAAAACTTTGTTTAACAAAAAATATATATTATACAATAAATGTGATTGCTCACAGGAAATCAATCACAACATGCAATTCACTTATTCACTTCAATACATCCTGCTTGGGCACCTTTAAGTTCTTCCATCGTCTCAACACCACTTTGTATTTATCATTCTCATTCTTCTCAGATGCTTTCCTTAAAACAACTCGCATAACTACGGCTGTTTCTGTTTCTTTGTCTTCTCCAAGAATGAGATCCAATGTATCGCCAACCTTTACCTGAAGAAAAAAAAAGGGGGGGAGGGGAGGAGAAAAAATGTTTTTTTCCTTGAGCAACTGTATGAATAACTGCCTGACATTGATTTGACTGCTTTCATTCCCACCATTTTGAAGCTTGAAGCAAAGCTGCCAAGTTGACTGCTTAATAGGTGTACTTTTTTGTGGTATAAATTCTATGATTCGAGGATGTTGTGCTGCCTTAAGAATGCATGCATGTATAAGAAAAAAGTTGTAAACCCATAATCAGGCATTTCTAATCCATGAAACTTAGCATCACAATAAAGAAGCTACAGCAGTAATGTGACACAACACCATAAATCGTATACTGCACTCGTGAGTCCCCACTTGGACTACGGTAGCCAATTTTGATCACAAAGATAACAAAAAAGATGCTGTGACTCTAGAAAAAAGAGTGCAGAGAAGAGCAACAAAAATGACGAGGGGTCAGTTAAGGGAACTAGGTGTGTTTAACCCAGTGTTTCTCAACCTTGACAATTTTAAGGCATGTGGACTTCAACTCCCAGAATTCCACAGCCAGCAATGCTGGCTGTGGAATTCTGGGAGTTGAAGTCCACATGCCTTAAAATTGTCAAGGTTGAGAAACACTGGTTTAGCCTAACAAAGAAAAGGGTTAGGGATGACATGATAGCTGTCTTCCAGTACTGGAGGGACTGTCACAGAGAAAAAGGGGGTCATGTTATTCTCCAAAGCCCCTGAGGGCAGGACAAGAAGCAATGGCTGGAAGCTCATCAAAAAGAGAAGCAACCTGGAATAAAAGAGAACTGTCCTGACAGTGAGAACAATTAATCAACCAAACAACTTGCTTCCTGGGATTGTGGGTGCTCCATCGCTGGAGGTTTTTAAGAATCAAATGATTCTATGGTTAAATTGTTGTTGCTGTTACCAACTGAATTTCTACGTGCTGAATCTACCACATCTATGACAATTTATAGCCACAAATAATAAAATGTTTACATTAAAATTTGCTACAGCCCCTAGTAAAATGGACAATACAATATGCTTCGACCCCTCCCTCTCCCTCAAAATAACAATTATCATATACTCCTATACAGAAGAAGAAAAACGTGCCAATGGTGAACCAACAATGTCCAAAGCAAAAGTTTTCTCCAACTTCTGGGAAGCCATCAGTGAGAGAACCAGTCTCAGTACTAGGGACAGGCTGTTCCAGGGAACTTGCACTGAGATGGCGCATTGGCAGCAGCTTCTTCTGAGCAACAACTGAAATAAGATGCCTATAAAGTCAGCAATCCCTTGTATAGCCCACTGTAGAAGTCTTCAAATGGTGATGAAGGCATAAGACCCATAGCCACGTCCTCCTCTTTCAAGGAAGTCAGAGAGAAAGCTCATGGACCCAGACAGATAACACATTACTCTGTTACTCAGAAAATAATACAGACGCCTCCTAAGACCAATGCTGGTAACATAGCTAAATAAATAAATAAGCTGTGCTCTACATGGCTTCACCTGCCTTGATTGCACTATCTACTGTTACTCCTGGCAGGCTTTGAATACTGATAGGTTATGATCAGTGCAAATCTGAATGTGATTTTCATTTAGTATGGTTTATAAATTGATACCAGATTGTGTTTAATGCAAGCTAGGGTTGTTAGGGTGAGGTGGTGTGTGCACGGTTGAGATTAGTGCATGGGCAGTTGATTAGATACTAATCATCATTTGTGTAAAATGGAGAAAAGGAAAATTCCATTCAAGGAAAGCTCAAAACAGAAGAGGCTCTTTTTGAAGAACTATAGCAGGATACAGGAGATAGCTACACTTTGGGTGGGTTTATCCTCTTTTATTGTTATACATTATTTCATTAATGAACATATTGGAATATATGTTCAAAACTTTCAGTTGCCCATTTCCACCAAACTATAACCAATTACCCTATCTTCCATAGAAACATCACTTTAAAAACATGTGAATTCAAATAGTACAACCATTTCATAGAATTGATTAACCACACTAATTGAGACCTACTTGTACAACAGTAAACTATGGTATAACTATCTGCACAAGTTCAAGAGAAATCATAAATTTGCACATTCTCCCTTATCCTCTTTTTACTCAGTTAACTCTACTTTTTTAAAAAAAAAAAAAATCCTGAATTCTTGATCCACGCAAACCAGAAATTATAGCTTCAGATATAATCTGTTTATTTGAACAATCTTGTGGTTGAAAGTGGCTCACTTTGAATCTGATGAAAGTCTGCTTTAAACCATACTGCCTTTGTTCAGATTTAGTTAAGTAAGCCAGAATTCTGGCTCAGTAAAGAAAAAAAGTAGAATGTGGGTGCATGCTAATGTATTCCCCTTTGGATTTTAACTATCAGTACACTAAAAACTGGTTTATTGATCAAAACCCCCCAAGCCATGACTTGGACAGGACTAATAGAGAAACAAGCCAGAATTTCCAATTTGCACATAATGTTAAGCAATCTATCAACATTGCCATCCAGATATCTGCAGAAGCCCCCCCTCCCTCAAAAAACCCAACAAAATCATAGTATTAACCTTCTTTCTTACTTACAATTAAAACAGAGTTCTGGTTTAACACAATGATCAAATTAACAAGCCAGAAATTTTTGGAAAGTGAAATAAAGTATGGAGGAAGAATGAGAAGTGTTGCATGCCCCAAACTTTAGATGAACTTACTCCAGTTCATCTGACATAAAATTCGATCTAAGAGATACACTGAACCAGCTCAATGTTTTTGAAATATGATATGGGTTGTATAATACAACATGCAACTGTTATTTTAATAAGCTGGTTATCGATATGTAAATAGTTCTAGAAATAAAAATAAGCAAATGGCCCCAAAATTAATAATCTTGGGTCCCAATGCTGCAAAGAAAAATGTCTTTTATGTAGTGATGTGATCCTGTTTCACTATGTAATAGTGAGAATTAAATCTTAACCCCTGATTTCTCATGTTAGTTTAGGTTATACCGTGAATTTCAAAGGGTCTTACCGATCTGCTTTTCTTCCACAATTTTTCTCCATTCAGTCTAAGCTCACCATTGTAGAATGCATCTTCCACTTTGCTTTAAAACAAAAAGAACCCATTTTTATATTTAATGTTCTTGCTATATTTTTTACAAAAATAAATACTAAGAATAACCTTTTCTACCACTACAACATAGGTATATAGATAGCTACATCAGTGTTCCTCAACCTTGGCAACTTTTAAGATGTGTGGACTTCAATTCCCAAAATTCTGGGAGCTGAAGTCCACGCATCTTAAAATTGCCAAGCTTGAGAAACACTGGGTTAAATCATATCAATTAACATAAATGATAACATTTTCTTTTAGCATTTCTCTGCTCTAGTGCAACTGATTCACTATGTATGGACCTGCAGCTATACTGTAGTCACCTTTTACAGAAAGAAAATCAATGTTGCATATCTTAAAGCTAAATAAGGCTGAAATCCTATGCGTACTTTTGGTGAAGCAAATCCTATTAAACTCACTCAGGTTTTCTTGAAAGGAGCAATCAGTTGTGAGCAACTGATCATTTGTAGAAACTGTTGGTCTACGATCAAAAATCAAGAACAATTTCTACTTAAATCTGGTTTGCTACATTCTGCAAGTAAAATAACAATGGTTGATAACACATGCCTCATATTTCTGCTCTTCATTCAAAGCTTTTTACTATGTATATTAAATACACAAAACCCTGAAACAAATGACAAAGTTAAGCAAGAAATGTGCATGCATATCATGGCATTTGGAAGCTTTAATTAAAGGAATGGCCAACGGACTGCAAATTAAGTTGGAAAAGTAGTCTCATTAAGAGCTATTTTGTTTTTTTTTAATGACTATCAGCTGATGCTAATAGTTGTCTTTACTTTTTAATAGCCAATTTTACAGTATTTAACTGACCAGTCTGTTTTCATAGGGATTTTAATCACAAGCTACAAAAGTCATTTTAAATGTCCTTCCCAACTTAATGCTTTCCAGATGCTGTTACAACCAGCACCGGATTGGGGAAGGCTTATGAAGAATACTATCTTTAACATACTAGTATTAGCAAAACCAATATATTAATTGTATATTAATAGTCTTCCTAAGAGGGAAACCTTTAACTAGCTTGCACTTAGCAACGTTAAACAAAGTATCATTACCTATACCTTGTAATCTCTTTACTTACAAGTGATTTTAAACTTTTAGACTTACTTTCTTGCAATATCTAAACCAGATTTCAAGATTACATCAAAGCGGAAAGATTGCACTACTTTCTCAAGGTCTTTGTAATTCTTCACTATGCTGGGATCATCTTCAAACTCATCTTCTGAATCAGTTATCTCTTCAACAGTGTCTTCCTCCTCCAAGTCTTCTTCCACAGTTTTTTTCACATTTTTATGTGAGCTTTTGTTACTTTTGTGTCGGACCAAAATCCCTGACACACTTTTTGACCACGGTACTAAAAACACATGCTGTTGAATGGGAGAATCACAGAAATGTTTGGGGAGAATTGCTCTTTTGGGATGCTGGCTTGTAGCACAAAGAAAGGTCTTCCACGGAGAGTGAAGTTTGTGAGGAGATTTGACCAGAATTCCAAGCCAGACATTTAGATTTCTAAAAGCACCAAGCAGCAATTTATACCCTGTCATAGCATACCCTGGAACAAAGGATTCAACAGTTAGGGCACTGCAAGTTAGAAATTTTACAAAATGAACAATGCAACGTCTTACACATTCTAAAGCAGGTGTCTTCAAACATGGCCCTTTTATGACTTGTGGACTTTAACTCCCAGAATTCCTCAGCCAGGCACGCTGGCTAAGAATTCTGGGAGTTGAAGTCCACAAGTCATAAAAGGGCCAAGTTTGAAGACCCCTGTTATTAAGCAACAAGCAATATAGGAAGGTATGGGATCCACAAAATTCCGAACTCATTAAAGAATGTTGCACTGAATTAATTCAATTTATTTCTGAATATTAATGTCTGAGCTTGTGATGTCATTTTTTTTTAAATGCCAGGGACTGGGTTATAATCTTAGACATAAAAATCATCTACCCACAATCCAAATAGTTAAAGACCTTTGTTCTTTGGCTTTCCTATGCAGGGTTAGGCAACATAATATCAACAGGTGCTACGGATATCCTAAAAATCTACAATGCCCACAAAATCATCAGTCTAAATTCTGTATTACTGCATTCACAATAATTCAGTGGCTTACATTAACTTACCAGCAAATAAGTATCCTTTTCATGATCTGTCCACAAACACTATTCGTAAACAAGGTATTGAAGACTAGTGGGAGAAATCTATTGCTTAATCTGTGAATCTACTGTTATGCTGGGCTATGACTGTAACAAAGATTGATTTGAGTCTACCGTGATGAAGCATATTCTGAAAAATGGATTCAGCATGAAGACCTCAGTGAAATCTTCATTGTTTTTTTTCTCAAGAGAGTTAGATTTTGAAATGAAGCATAGCCCTGCAGTGTGACATCCTGCTTCGACTGTTCAAACTTTCTTAGGAAAGAAAGCCAAAACTACACATTATTTATTTAATAGTTTATTTCTTCTTGGGCAGGCAATTTAAAGCAGTTTACAATCAAATAATTTAAATAAATTATAATAAAGAATTATAAAAGATTGGAAATGGATGAAAAAAAAATCCCAAGGCTTTCACTAGAAAGAATGCCCACCTATGAATAACAGCAAAATAACAGTAGGTCAGTTGTGGTACTGGATGCACAACAGGACTGCCTCTGTTCACCTTAGTAACCAACCTGCCAGATAAAGGTAAAAGCAGACTGTTAGGTATCCTGCTCCCAAGTTTTCAAGGGCACTCTTTGTCAAACACAAATTCTTGGTTTGGTAGTTAATTGGTAGCCAGTCAGTTGCTCCAATAAAGATGCAATGTGTGCATAGCCAGACCTCCCACTTATCTAAACATGAGGCTACCAGAGTGTGAACAAGAACAGATAGGTTTCCACATGCAGGAGATATATTGGTCAATGCAGCAAGATATTTCGGTAAGGTGTTCTTTAAGGTCAGTTGGTCCTCAAGTATCAATTACTATTCCAGAAACATCTGAAACTATTGTAAGTTTTCAAACTCTTGAGTCCACACCCTGGTCAAAATAATAAAAATCTGAAGAAGTGGGATCAAATTCCACTCAAGGCAGATTCACTAATTCCCATTCCTTGAAATTTGATTCATGAGCTGTCCTGGGGGAATTCCACTTCAATTCACTGGCACCCATCTATCCTGTAACAGAATCTAGATACTCATTCTAAATTTGCCTGTTCTCTCTTGATTTAAGTGTCATGAAGTAATCAGCATGTCTTTAACATTTGATGACATTTCACCCCAAACACCTGATGATCATCATATATATAAATAGCATTGGGGAAAATTAGTCCTCTGTGACACCCACAGAATGTACAAGCACAGTGATGCAAGCTATTTTCCAAGACCAAAACTCATTCTGTCCTAAAACCAATCCTAAATCCTTTATCAAAACGATCAACAAAATAAGTGTTCTCCAAGAAAATCTGAACTGTACAAATATTAACTTCTCCAGCACTTTACCCAAAACAGAAGTATTATGGTCAGTAGTACTCCCCTGGATCCAGAGAGGGCTTCTTCAGAAATGGGCAGACAAGGACCAACCTTAAAATTAGGGGTCTCAATTCATCATGGAAACATAAGCTCTATATTCTACCTAGCCAATCCCTATTTGTTACTGCAAATAAGCCAAGACGGTTAAAGATCAAACGAGTAGGCAGTAGGCCTCCCAGCAGAAGCAAGTCCATTTAGTTTTCAGCTTGTAACTTTATGCTGTGGACTGCAAGTAAGTTTCTGTCTAGCTCTAAACATCAGCGATTACACGGAACTCTAAAAGCAGCATAGAAGTATTCATACAACCCTCAGGGTAGTCTAATTTTCCTTAAATTAATACAATACTGTACTGACTGATTTTACTTGTTAACGTCTTGCACAATATGACCTGTAGAATACAGTACACCCATAAAAAGAAACGTGTACAAGAGACCAACTATTTTAAGCATCGTTGGTATTAATTGGATGGCAGACGAATTAATAGGTCACAGCCGCACTCCTAATTTTTCTCACCCCCTGATCTTACAAAGGATCCAACCACAAATGGCACGGAGATCAAACGCCCCTGGTTTGGTGTGTGTGTGTGTGTGTGTGTGTGTGTGTGTGTGTGTGTGTGTGTGTGTGTGTGTGTGTGTGTGTGTGTGTGTGTGTGTGTGTGTGTGTGTGTTTTGTGGTGTGTGTGTGTGTGTGTGTGTGTGTGTGTGTGTGTGTGTGTGTGTGTGTGTGTGTGTGTGTGTGTGTGTGTGTGTGTGTGTGTGTGTGTGAATAAACTTCGCAGAGGGCAATTTCAAGCGCCAAGGTCGAATTCAAGGGAACCCTACCGTAAATACGGTTAAAACCGCGCTACAATCCCGACTGGGTAAACCTTCCGCAGCAGATCCAGCACCGCGTGTGTAACCCCCGCCCTCTGCCCGGTTGCCTAGCGGGTCCGCGTCCGATTCCGGCCTCCCTTCGCCCAGAAGATAGAGGGAACCGGAAAGCGCTGGTTCTTCGCCCGGGGCCGAGTAGCGCCCGTCTGCCTGGCCGCTCTATGACCCCGCGTGCCACACTACCTGCCTTCGCCCGGCTCTTGCAACCCAAACCCCGCCGCGCGGCCCCTTTCCGAGCTCGTCCTTTCCCAGCTTTTCCGCAGGGATCAAAGGGCAGCGGCCGAGGCGGAGCCAAGTTTTTGTCGGAGGCAACAGCGTCCCCTGCTGGAAAGAAGGGCCTCGGAGGACCTGGCGGCTGTAGGCCGAAGTCCTCCGGGTCTCTGTTGGCAGTTCCTCCGGAGGCGCAGAAGAGCCAAGCCAGCGGCTGTGGGCGATCCAATCTGAGAGATTGGTCTCAGTTTATAGCTGGATGGGCTTCAAAAAGTCGGGACGACCTTGGAAAGATATCACAGTTGCACCTATTTTGCAGTGGCGTATATTGAAAGATGCTGATTTGAAATTGTGATGTTAGAGATTTCCAACACAAAATCACTCAAAGCAACAACTACAATGAATAAATCTATAAAATAAGACGGATAGCATTTCCCAGTATGGCCCTACTGGATAAAAACGTTTTCATCATAGAAGAAACATAATTATAGATTACTATTGCAAATTAATCCCATTCATAATCTCAGAAGCACAATCTAGCATATATTTATTTCCATTACTGTTCTGGTCTCCCTGCAATCTTGTGAGGTAGGTAAAGCAGGGATCTGAACCTGCATCAAACCATCATAGTCCAATATTTTAACTGCAAAATCACATCTGTTCTTGCAAGCCATTTCCACTTTCGTTTTGCAACCAATAATAATAGAAAAACCCATGTGCCTCTAGAACAGCCAAAAAGTCTTGTCTAGGCTAGCAGTCTTTTAAATCCAGTCAGCTGGACACATGAAAAATGTATAACAGGTGTCAAACTCAATTTCACTGAGGACCGCATCAGCATTGCGGTTGCCCTGGGGGGGGGGCAGGTAGGTGTGGCCAGGGTGGGTGCAGCCTAATGGGTGGGCGTGGTATGAACCTTGAGGCTGTTTCTGAGTGTTTTTCTAGGCCTTGATGTTGTTGTTACTTGCGAAGTCGTGTCCGACCCATCGCGACCCCATGGACAACGTTCCTCCAGGTCTTCCTGTCCTCTACCATCTTCTGGAGTCCATTTAAGTTCACACCTACTGCTTCAGTGACTCCATCCAGCCATCTCATTCTCTGTCGTCCCCTTCTTCTATTGCCCTCAATCTTTTCCAGCATTAGGCCCTTCTCCAGTGAGTCCTTCCTTCTCATTAGGTGGCCAAAGTACTTGAGTTTCAACTTCAGGATCTGGCCTTCTAAAGAGCAGTCGGGGTTGATCTCTTCTAGGACTGACCGGATCGCCTTGCAGTCCAAGGGACTCGCAGGAGTCTTCTCCAGCACCATAGTTCAAAGGCCTCAATTCTTTGCGCTCAGCCTTTCTTATGGTCCAACTTTCACAGCCATACATTGCAACTGGGGAAACCATGGCCTGGACTATACGCACTTTGTTGGCAGGGTGATGTCTCTGCTTTTTAGTATGCTGTCTAGATTTGCCATAGCTTTCCTCCCCAGGAGCAAGCGTCTTTTAATTTCTTGGCTGCAGTCCCCATCTGAGGTGATCTTGGAGCCCAGAAAAATAAAATCTGTCACTACCTCCATTTCTTCCCCATCTATTTGCCAGGAATTGAGAGGGCCGGATGCCATGATTTTGGTTTTCTTAATGTTGAGTTTCAAGCCAACTTTTGCACTCTCTTTCTTCACCCGCATCAAGAGGCTCTTTAGTTCCTCTTCACTTTCTGCCATTAGAGTGGTATCATCTGCATATCTTAGGTTGTTGATATTTCTCCCGGCAATCTTAATTCCAACTTTTGTTTCATCTAGCCCTGCCTTTCTCATGATGTGCTCTGCATATAAGTTAAATAGGCAGGGCGACAGTATACAGCCTTGCCGGACTCCTTTTCCAATTTTGAACCAATCAGTGGTTCCGTGTTCGGTTTCTCACTGTTGCTTCTTGACCCGCATATAGGTTTCTCAAGAGACAAATGAGATGGTCTGGTACTCCCATCTCTTTAAGAACTTGCCACAATTTGTTGTGATCCACAATCAAAGGCTTTTGCATAGTCAATGAAGCAGAAGTAGATGTTTTTCTGGAACTCCCTAGCTTTCTCCATGATCCAGCGTATGTTGGCAATTTGATCTCTAGTTCCTCTGCCTCTTCGAAATCCTGCCTGTACTTCTGGTAGTTCTCGATCCACATACTGCTGGAGTCTAGCTTGTAGGATTTTAAGCATAACTTTACTAGCATGTGAAATGAGTGCAATGGTGCGATAGTTTGAACATTCTTTGGCATTGCCTTCTTTGGAATTGGAATGTAAACTGACCTTTTCCAATCCTGTGGCCACTGTTGAGTTTTCCAAATTTGCTGGCAAATTGAGTGTAGCACTTTTACTGCATCGTCTTTTAAGATTTTGAATAGTTTAGCTGGAATACTGTCACCTCCACTAGCTTTGTTGTTGCTCAGATTTTCTAAGGCCCATTTCACTTCACATTCTAAGATGTCTGGTTCGAGGTCAATGACCATCTCACTGTGGTTATCTGGGATGTTAAGCTCATTCTTGTATAGTTCTTCTGTGTAGTTTTGCCATCTCTTCTTAATCTCTTCTGCCTCTGTTAGGTCTCTGCCATTTTGGTCCTTTATCATGCCCATCTTTGCATGAAACGTTCCTTCATATCTCCAATTTTCTTGAAGAGATCTCTGGTCCTCCCTATTCTGTTGTTTTGTTCTATTTCTTTGCACTGTTCATTTAAGAAGGCATTCTTATCTCTTCTAGCTACTCTCTAGAATTCTGCATTCAATTGGGTGTATCTTTCTCTTTCTCCTTTGCCTTTTGCTTCCCTTCTTTCCTCAGCTATTTGCAAAGCTTCCTCAGACAGCAATTTTGCTTTCTTGCATTTCTTTTTCTTTGGGATGGTTTTAGTTGCTACCTCTTGTACAATGTTGCGAACTTCCATCCATAGTTCTTCAGGCACTCTGTCTATCAGATCT